TGGATATAAAAGGAGCATCCACGAAAAGGCTGAGCCCTTTAGCAGCGAGGATGGGTCGAGGCTCACCACTTTGCCACAAAATGCATCGATCAAAAACCCAACAGTTTTAAAATAACGTTCCTCAGGCAGGGATGACAAGGATTTTAGGTATTTCACCCTCCACTGTGCTTAATATCATCACAAGATTCAGGGAAAGCAGAGAAATCTCTGTGTGTAAAAGGAAAAGGCTGAAAACCACAATTGAGTGTTCGACTCCTCAGACAGCACTGCATTAAAAACCAGCATGATTCTGCGGTGGATTTCACCACATCAGCTCGGGAATACTTTGAAAAAAAAACACTGTTGATAAACACCGTCAATCACTGCATCCACAAAAACAAGACTGTAAAATGCGCAGTGGAAGCCATATATCTACCCTCGAGCTGTTAAACTGGTCACACCAACAGCCCCCAACCAGATCATGAAAACAAACACAACTTGGACTATATGCACACTGCACTTTAATGTTATTCCGATCTGCTGTCTGACTTCATAAATACTTGGACCAAACACTTCACTAACACTCATACCACTGTTTATTGAACGCTACCTCTAAAACTGCAGCACGTATTTTGCACACACGTTTACACACTCTATGCTAGGGCTGAACGATTTGGGGAAAATATCGAATTGTGAATTTTCTGACAAATATTTCAATTTGATTGCAATTTAAATGCAGTAAGTTTCCATAATTCCATAAATGTCAGAGCCTCTTTTTTTGGCCAAGAAGAGCAGAATATTCACTTTTTCTGGCATGAATCTTGAATGCTGAGTGCATCAGACTACCAGCTAGTTGTGATGGTTGTGATGTCATGGGTGTTTTGTTGCTTCTGATTGGTGTAACTCATCTACAGACAGTTCACAAGCTCTGTTATTATTTTATTTTTCCATTTAAAACTTGTTAAGGCAACACTGTTAATGACATATAATAAAGATTGCAGCTCTTGTGATTTGAAAATTGCACTTTTTTCAAATTGTAATTTCGATATAAAAATGATTAATCTTTCAGCTCTACTCTATGCACCAGTACACATCTGTGTCTTTAGTTTATTCTATATTTATTCTATATTTATTTAGGTATGCATACTATCATCTCACTTGTCCTTGTCTCAATGTTTATGCACCAGAGAAGCAGCCCGAACATGTTACGTTATACTCCCTGCAGATGCATAATGGCAATAAAGATTAATTGAACTGAATATCAACAATGTCCAGAAACGCCGCCGACTTCTTTGGGCTCAAGCTCCTCTGAAATGACTGATGCTCAGTGGAAACGTGTATTGTGGTTTGACGAGTCAAACTTTTAGACTGTTTATGGAAATAATGGATGTTGTGTTCTCCTGGCTAAAGAAGAGAATGAGCATCCAGATTGTTACCAGCGTAAAGTTCAAAATCCAGCCTCTGTGATGGTGTGAGGGGGGGTATTAGTGGGTAACCTGCACATCTGTCAAGGCACCATTAACACTGAACACATTTTGAAGCAAATTGTGCTGCCTTTTAGTGACATCCAGGCTTATTTCAACATGACAACACCAAGCCACGCGCTGCACGTGTTACAACAGCATGGCTGCGTAATCAGAGAACGCGGTGCCTGCAGTGCAGAACTGTCTCGCCTTGAAAAGATGTCGCACTATTAAGCACAAAATACAACAACAAAGGCCCCGAACGGCTGCACAGCTAAAGACTTCTGCAACAGAAGAAAGGCAAAAAGTTTGGCTTTCAAAACTGGATCAGTTTGTGTTTTCAGTCCGCAAACGTTTATTAAGTGCTGCTAAAAGGAAAGGTGGTGTAACACAGTGATAAACACACTCCTGTCCCACCTTTTCTGGAACATGGTGCCATCATCAATTTTAAAATGAGTGCATATTAAAAAAAAACAATAAAATCCATAAGGTAGAACATCAAATATTGTGTTTCAGTGCAATTTTCAATGTAATACAGGTCAAACAGAACTGACCTAACACTCATTTCTGTTTTTAACAGTATTTCACATACCATCCCAACTTTTTTGGAACTGCAGTTTTTATTTATTTGATATTCTTTTTTAAAAACCTGCCCAAATAACAAGTCAGTCCATATTCTATCCAATCACCAAAGCACTTCTTCCACCTGCCAAATCCAACCAAAATCCAAATTTGGCAGGGACTCGCCCAATCTGGCAACACTGTTCCCTGGTAGTGAAGGGATGGTGGGTGGTTTAGGGCCCAAGATGCAATGGAGGGTGTTTAAAATTTGCATACTCATGCATATTCATAGATCTTCACGTTTTTTATCAATCAAGTTTATTTATATAGAGCTTTTTACAACAGGTGTGATCACAAAGCAGCTTTACAGAAAATCCGGTTCTAAGCCCTACTGGGCGTCGCCAGTGGCGACAGTGGCAAGAAAAGCTCCCTGAGAGCGAGAAGAAGAAAGTGAATGAATTGATAATCAGATGAGCTCTGCTCTGATTGGCTGGTTTACAGCGAGGCACTGCGATGGTTCACACAGAAGCAATATCTGGAAATAAAATGAACCTCCGTGTAAATAAGATCCTCATATTACTTGGCCATATAGAAACATATACAGCTCATTCTCCATCAATCTGAAGAACAGTTTCACCAGCATAGAACCCTTCAATTAGGGGTTCATTGAGTGGTCATGGTTCCATATAGAACCATTTTCTTTACTAAAGAACCATCATCTTTAAGTGTGTAGGACTGTCAAACTATTAAAATACGATTTGACATCATACATCTATGATATTGTACACTCTTGAAAAAAAAAGGTTCTTCAAGGGTTCTTTAGTAAAGAAATGGTTCTATATAGAACCATGAACACTCAAAGAACCATATGCATGCTTCAATGTTTTTCTGCCTGGTGAAATCGTTCTTCAGATCGACGGAGAATGTGTTGTATATCGTTGTATGTAGAACCTTTTTGAAAAAGCACCAAAAAGGGTTCTTCTATTGTTACAAGCTTGATATTGTACATCCTTTAAAAAGATGGTTCTTCAAAGGTTCTTTAGTAAAGACAATGATTCTATATAGAACCATGAACGCTCAAAGATCCATTTCATGCTTAAACAGTTCTTTGCGTGGTTGAAACGGTTCTTCAGATTGATGGAAAATGTGTTGGATATGGTTCCATACAGAACCTTTTGGAAAACGGTTCTATGTAGCACAAAAAAAACTTTTTTATTGTTACAAACCTGACACTGAACGCTCTTAAAAAGCTGGTTCTTTAAGGGTTCTTTAGTAAAAGCAATGGTTCTATATAGAACTATGAACACTCAAAGAACCCTTTGCACGATCAAATGACTCTCTACATGGTGAAATGGTTCTGAAGGTGCTGTATGTGGTTCTAGAAAGGATCTTTTCGAACAAGCACCAAAAAGGGATTTTCTATTGTTACTTGTAAGCTTGACACTGTACCAACAGCAGAACCCTTTTGGTTCTATACAGAACCATTTTTTTTAAAAATACACAACACATCTTCATCAATGTGAGGAACCATTTCACCATGCAAAGAACCATTTAAGCATGCAAATGGTTCTATGTAGAACCACTGTTATTACTAAAGAACCCTTAAAGAACCCTGTACTGTAGGACAGACCCTGAAAGGCTTGCAGTGCTTTTGAATGCAGCAGCATCAGAGAAACTAAAGCTTGTGAAGGCAGCTGGATGTGATGTGAGGCTGAATCACACTCAGGGAGGAGAGATCCAGGAGAGAGTGATGGGATAAATGAATGGAGAGGAGGGGAGGGGAGAGGAGAGGAGGGGAGGGGAGGGGAGGGAAGAGAGGGGGTCTGTTTGTTTACTTCACTCATTCACTCGGCGTTAAGCAGAGCAGTGCTGTCTCACAGCAGCCACGGAGGTGAAGTGATGAGTGATGAGTGATGAGAGATGAGATAAGCGGGCAGGCTGACCTGCTGATCGTCCACAGCTCGGTCATATTCAGCGGCTCTCGCCTCTGAGGCTGTTATACAACCGAGGGCCTGAAAACCGGCCGCCATCCACGAATGAACGGCTCGGTTTCCGAGCGTTGAGGTGCAGCTACACGGTTTCTGTCGTCTCAGAGGGAGGAAATGAGCTGGAAACCCTGAACGGGCCTTATAGGGTGATGAAATGCCTCAGCAGACGGAGCACTGTGGTCAGATACTTACAGTGATGATGCAAAGAAAAACGAGGCTGAAGTTGGTTTGATATTTCCCCGTTCCACCTTAAATGGTGCAGCAGTTACATTCTTCTTTCTTGAATTTCCCCGTTCCACCTTAAATTAGGTAGCAGTTACTTTCTGGCGCCGTGGAACGGGAAAGAATGCAACTGCTGCACCATTTAAGGTGGAACGGAAAATATCCAGCAAAGAAGAATGCAACTGCTGCACCATTTAAGGTGGAACGGAAAATTTCCAGCAAAGAACATAACTGCTGCACCATTTAAGGTGGAACGGGAAAATTGGACCAAGAAGAACGTACCTGCTGCACCATTTAAGGTGGAATGGGAAATTTCTAACAAGAAGCACGTTAATTGCTACACCGTTTAAGGTGGAACCGGCAAATTTCTAGCAAAGTAGAACGTAACCCGTGCACCATTTAAGGTGGAACTGGAAATTTCGACCAAGAAGAATGTAACTGCTGCACCATTTAAGGTGGAACGGAAAATTTCTAGCAAAGAAGAACGTAACCCGTGCACCATTTAAGGTGGCACGGGAAAATTCAAACTAGATGAATGGAGCTGCTGCATCGTTTAAGGTGGAACGATAAAATTCGAACTATAAGAATGGAGCTGCTGCACCGTTTAAGGTGGAACGGGCAAATTCGAACCAGAAGCTGGCTAACAGGGAAGCCAACTTCAGCCTCGTCGAAGAAAAACGCCGTACTGGGGAAGCGCATCATCTATGCAGGTCTCGATGCATCTCATGCATCTCAAATCATCTCAATCACGTGAGAAAAGCCCCTCCAAAACCCCCACAATGCCCACCTGAATCGCTCCTGGCCGGCGGTGTCCCACAGCTGCAGCTTTATCTTCACCCCAGGCTCGATGTCCAGCGAGCGCGCGTAGAAATCCACACCGACCGTGGGGTCAGCCACGTCGCTGTACACGCCGTCCGTGAACCTCTTGAGCAGAGAGGATTTGCCCACGGTGGAGTCGCCCAGCAAGATGATCCTGAACTGGTATTGCCACAGGATATCCATGGCATGGCGAGGCGAGGCGAGGCGCGCAAAAAACGACAGGTGCGCAAAAAAGGCGAGGCGCGCAAAAAACCCCTAGAATTACAACAACAAAAGCGCGCGGACGCGGTGTTTACATTGAGGACACTGAAGCAGACGGCGAGGAGGAGGAAGAGGGTGGCGCGTGTGCGCGAGCGCTGCTGCTGCTGCAGTCACGTGACGTTCGCATCTCCTGATGGCCCGTGCACCTAGGCCCGTACAGCCTGTGTGCACTGGTTGTCTCGCGCCCCCACTACGTGGCCACGCACTGGCCACTTTATTAGAAACCCCCAACTCGAAACACCTACTTCTTTTGCTTCCTGGCCACTTTATTAGAAACACCTACCTCGTGCTTCCTGGCCACTTTATTAGAAACATCTACCTCGTGCTTCCACTCACTGGCCACTGTATTGGAAACACGAACCTTATGCTTCCACTATTTGGCCACTTTATTAGAAACACCTACCTTGTGGCCACTTTATCGGAAACACCTGCCTTGTGCTTCTCACTGCGTCCGTTCCAATGCACCTTATAAACTGGAACGCTGCCCTGTCCATGGTACTGAAACCTGGCCCTGGTGGGCAGTGGTGGTGGGCGCATACCTGCGGTAAGCGACGAGAGGCAAAATGTGTTGTTTTTTTTATTTTTTTATTAATAATAAATAATAATTTATTTATTTTAAACGGCTACAGAATACAATGCGCTATAATAGACTAATATTAAATGTTTATTATGAAATACAGTGGCATCTTTTATGTCTGTTAAACTCAAATAATAAAATTATCTCATAAAGGTCTGACACTTATAACTCAAATTATTGCTTTTCACCTGGACTGCTAGTGAGCGAGACTGCCCCCTGCTGATCCAGACAGTGCAGATACAGTTGGCTGCTGCAGAACATTCTCATTTTTTTGCAATGAAAAAATAAAAGTGATTACGTATTTTACCAATCTGCCACTTTTATTCCAAACCATATCACGACTTTAGACTTTTATTCTGTAATGTGTGTAAAGCTGCTTCTCTGGCATTTTGTATTGATATGGCTGTAAATGCAACTGTCTTGTGCTAACTGCCCACCCCCTGTATTTATTTCGTACGTTTTATGTAAATAAATACACGAGTTTTATTCGTTTAGATGTCGCACTACATTTCCCACAATGCTTCCCAAGGTGACGCAACTAACCAGCCAATCAGCGTGTAGGAACAGACGACATAAGAGAAAACGCCGCCCCACTGCTTCCCTCTTGCTCTGCACTCCAGTGACGGTGGTGGAGGTAAGTCTTTGTAATCCAAAGCCATCCAGCGGTTTTTGGAGTTTATTATATTGTTTGTTTGTTGTTTTGGGTAGTTTGGGTGGTTAAGATTAAGTAGAGGAGGGTTTTGAGGAAGTTCAGAACCATTTAATATGTATTATTTGGAAGTATGTTTGAGCGTGGCGGCTCACGCCTTTCTCAGCCGGGTCTACTCCATCCTGCAGTTTATGTTTAAATGCTAATCAAAAGTGTTTTTTCTGAAGCTGAAGTCGGTTTTTGTTCGAATTTATCGGTTCCACCTTAAATGGTGCTTGAGTTGCATTCTGTCGCCTCAGCCGGTGTAACGACTGTTGCACCATTTAAGGTGGACCCGGCGTTTGTTCTGGATAAATCAGTGAAATTAGCTTCATCGAGGCCCTTATCGAAGTCGATTTTGTCTGTATTGTGGTTGAATCGGTCAACAAGGCGCCTATAGTGAAACTTCCACCGACGGTCGCTGCCCAGTTTCTGTAAACGTTAACTGGTCAGCAACAAATATGGGGAAGGACACTGTTTTAGCTGGTCAGCTAGTAAACTACTCGGTTTAACATGGACTTTTTCCTTTGGGAATGTCCTAAAATACTCCAGTTACTCAGCCTCTGTTTTCTTTGTTGCAGATGATTGTAAATGACGTCATGAACTTCTGTCAGGACTTAAATCAAGGTAAGTAGTTAAACTAGGCTAAGCTGCTGGAGTCTGGGGCAGAAGTGCATTTAAAGGGGAACCCCACCGGTTTTTAAAAAGAATCTGCATAATTAAAAGGTTAACAGGTATACATAGTCATTCAGAGTGGTTTGGTGTGAAAGACTCCATTCTAGAGTCAGAAATGTTCACGGTGGTGATAGGAACCAGACGTCCACCTCTAAAAGCTCCCTCACAGTTATTACATGGAATGGTTATGAATTCACTGCCTGATGACTGACGCACTGTTTTGTGAAAGTTTAACATGTATTTTAATCCATTTAAGTTATTCAGTGTGGAGGGATACATAATATGCAGGGTGTTGTGAAGCAAAATAGTCCCCAAAGAAAAACTTAGTATTTCAGGTTTTCCACTATTTTCCTTCGTCAACATCCCATATAAGCTCAGAAGACTTGTTTATGTTCACTGGTGGTTTTGATAGTAAATAAAATGTCTATATTTGTGTTGTTGTCATGGCGACCCCTGGTTCCTGTCACCACCACTGTAAAAACATCTGAACCATTTCACACCAAACCACTCTGAATGAATCCAATCTCAAGACTAAATTGCTTAGAAACTTTGGAAATTGGTTGGACTTGCCCTTCTGCTATTAAAGGGAATTCCTCCTGTTTTTTTAACTTGTGCATAATTGAGCGGTTAACATGTAAAGTCATTTAGAGTGTTTTGGTGTGAAATGCTCCATTTTAGTCCGGACTGTTCACAATGATGGTGATAGGAACCAGACGTCCACCTATAAAGGCTCCCTCACAGAAAGTTACTACATGAAGCTGTTATGAATTCACTGTCTGATGTGAGGCATCATTTTACAGTAGTGTTAAAGCTTTTGGCCTGAAATCTTGAACCATTTTGCATCGAACCACTCAGTTACTTTCTCAGCTGCTAAATCATGCAAAAATTGAAATGTTGGTGGAATTTCCCTTTAAGGTAGTCATGTAACTTCGGCTGTGTAGATCAGATTTTGGCTTTAGCGAACGCCTCTGGCCCTTATCGAAGTCGCTCCTGTTCCCTCGTAGCAGGCGCGGTCAAAAGGGAGCCTAAAGAATCGCTTTTGCCGACGGTCGCTGTTCGGCTGTAACGTAGCCGCTTCAGCAACATTAAGGAAAAGGACAACTTGCCTTCACTGTTGGTTAAGAATGCTTTAAGATGTTCAGGCTGCTTTCTGACACCTGCTTCCTCGTTGCAGGTGTAGTGGCAGGTTCTCGGCAGTCGGCGCCACCTTGACGAAGGAATGGAAGCTGCTGGTAATTTGCATTCACGTTCTACTCATTTAGGGCCTCTTTTCCACAAATGGTTCTCAGGGCCGTACTGTGCTGTTTTGCACTGATCCGCACTCTTGAAACTAGGTACGGTTTCTTTTTCCATCTCCTGTGTTCTTAAATCAGAGCCGGGACACTAAATAGAGGAGAACTGCGCTGAGCCTTTTCACAGTTCGTTTTAAAATAACCGAACTGAGTTCTGTTAAAGGGAACCAATTGCAAATGATCCAAGTTCTTATGTGTTCACAATGTAAGTTGCCTTGTCTTATCGCCAATCACAAGCAGGTTTTATCCTGAGTAGAACCTTAGAAATGATCCTTGGTGGTCTGTTTCTCGGGCCATTTAGAGGGTCTGAGTTCGTTTGGCGTGTTGACGTGCCGAAGAAACCATGACTCGGAGGTCTTGGTTCACTTAAGACACTGAAACGGCCCAAATATGAAAATGCCCCGAGGCCCAATCCCATTTCTTTTTACCCCTACCCCTTATTTGTCACCCTAACCCCTTGGAACGGAGTTACAGGGGTAGTGTTTAAAATCTTGCCCTGTGAAATGGGACCCTCAAATAAAGTGATGGCAAAGGAGGGTAAAGTTCAGCTCCTCACTGCTGGGTTTTAAGCACTGGAACGGTCTCCTCCCTCCGTGCTCAGAACCGTCCAGCCCTGTGGTGGAAAAGAGGCCTCCTTGTGTTGGCTGTGATGACCCACTTGCCCTATCTGAGACTTCAGTTATGAGAATCTTCCTAACCTCAACACTGAGCCGTAACCAGACTTGGTGCTGTTTAACTGCAAATCTTGAAGTTTCCCTAATTGATCTCTCTTCTCGTCACTGCAGGTGAAATCTCATGTTCCCCTGGCTGACATTGTGGTCAAGATGATCCTGGCTCCTCTACTGAAAGAGGTAAATTGAAGTGCCTTTGTTTTTGCTGACCACTAAATTGGACCTGGCTGTGATGACACTAACTTGCCCTCTCTGAGAGCGCAGCTCTGTTATGAAACAAAAACCCACTTTCCTGAGTCATGGTTTGCATCGAAACCCGTTCTGCGCATCTTCGTCGGCTCCCGATCATCGTAGTAATGTCTCTCTTCTGATTCTCTGATTTTAGGTGTTGTGACCTCTCCTCCTGAGCTGGACGTCCATCTTCAGTGACAGGTACACAATCTGACTCTGAAACTAATCCTGATGCACGGTTCCTAAGGATCTGTGCTGTGGTCAGTAGGATAGATTCTCCAACTTCGTGCTAAAGTAACGGGGAGACTTTGACTGTCCAGGCTGGCTGGTGTCTGTGACGGTCACTCGACTGCCCTACACGTCAGTTCAGCGTTGGAAAAACCAAGGAACACACTGCCTTCATATTAATCATTGAGTCAAGTGTGAATGTTTGAATAACTGCAATGTTGCCAAAATTCGTTTCCATTATCTCTAAATAAAATTCTAGCTGGGCTGAAGATTTTATCACTTCCCTTTTAATTTTAAAGGCTGCAAATTAAAATTAAGTTGCAGTTTTAATTACGCTACATCAGTAAACGTTTTAAGTGGTCAGATCTCGCCTAACAGCTTGTGAGCTGGCAGTCGATGCACTAGAAGCTCCAGGCCTGAAAAATGGATGTGCTGGACTTCTTGGGGGTGGCTTTGGTTTTAACTTATAGAAAAATCACATTTTAATCGCAGTTTGTCCAGAAAAATTGCAGTTACATTTTACAGAAGTCATGCTGCCTGACCTAATGTCCATTTAAAAAAATATTTTTGTGTAATGTTTTCTGTAGACAAAATACTGAATCAGTCGTGCCCATAATCTTCATATTAAACAAGAGAATATAAACTGTCCTTTCTTGCTCTAAAATTTTGTGCAAATCTAAGACGTTGCTGATTTGTCTCTTTGTCCAGGGTGCTGAGCCGACGCAGTCGCCGTGCGTCCATCTGAAGTTAATCAGGTACGTCAGTTAAGTGCATAAACTGAATCGTGTAGTTTGAAACGTAAACTGATCAAGGATGACACCATTTTTTGATAGTGACTGCTGGATGAATCTTGCGGATATGGGACTGAGATCTGTGCAGAACCTGTGCAGCTGTGTTTCTGTGTAGTGCAGAGTTTAATCATTTTCCCTTCTGTGATCAGCTGTAGGTTTACCGGCTGTGGAAGGAGTCCTGGTTTGACTGCATGTGGGTCATCAAAGGTAAAACATGGTCCAAGTTTCAGCATCACAAAACATAAATGCACCCAAGTTAACTCGTTTTACGACAGTGGTCAGCTTTAACCCAGATTCAGGTATTTGGGCTGTGAATAATCTGCGCATGAAACACATTTAGATGGTAGGGAGTGGGCGATATGGAAAAATCACGATACTTAAACATTTTCATGATCTGCATCACAATATTTTCCTGTGGTTTAATAGAAGTCGGAACAGACACAGTAGAACCTTTACTACCACTTAGAAAAACACTAGAATAACACTGGAACTTCCGGTGGCCCCAAAACGCACTTCATATTCTTTACTTCATAACTTGCATATTTCATAAGCTACATTCTAAAGGTGTGTCTTCTTTCCAGTCAAATAGATGGGTAATTTAATTTTAAACCCTTATAATAAAAAGCTTTTTTTTTCTACTGAAAGTCGACCCATTTTTCCACAAATCTGAGCTACAAACTGGATCCCAGATGGCGTCTCTTCAGTGATCTGCTCTGTAAAAATGTTTATAAACTATAGCATCTAAGATTTTTTTGGCTTTCAGCAGTAAATTGTAAACATAGCTATATTATTACATACATGTGTATGATCATAACATGTTATGTTATAAAACAGAAAACATGTTCAACAATTTCTGTTCATTTGAGGGGAGCTTTTACAAAAAACACCGTTTATTACCTGCCTTAAGATTTAGTCATGTAAATTCAGATGGAAAACCCAAATATACCCTGGAGAATAAGAGGTTAAAGTCTAAACAGGCCTAATTATGCTCACTACTTAAAACGTAGTGAGCAAATCATGCATATCACCAGAAAACCATATTGACATAAATTATCACAATATAATTACTTGCCTGTATCAGGATTAATTTTGCCTTTGCTAAAGTGATTTTTCCACATTTGAGTAGACAAAGTAGTTTCTGTATCATTTTTCTGGGGGTCTTTTTATATTATACAAATTATAGGGAAATAACTTCAAGCAATTTGCACAAAAACCTGGGGCCTCGTTTGTAAAACGGGTTTAAAAATCACTCCGTATGCATCGCCGTCCTGTCTGTACATCAGGTTTTTCAGCCTCCGCCCTTTTGATCACTTAAAATTCAGAACTTAACCCGCCCCAGGGCCCGCTAGCTGTGCGACATCAGTCGGCGTTTGGCGTTTTCTTGTGTAAAGTTGAGCCACTGTGGTGAGAAAATAAAGTTGGGTGGTGAACTAAGCTTCAAATTAGCCAGCTAAGCAAGAAAATCCACCTTTGTATGACCGATTCCTAATGCATGACCTTATTTCAGATTGACCGAGTGAAGAGTGGACAATGCATTATTGACTTGTTTTCCATTCCCTGCATAGGAATGGCTGAACGGAGCTGTGTGTGGAGCTGGCAGGCGAAGCTGTGGCTGCAGAAACGGCTTTTCGGTGACGTCAGTACAGTCCTGAGCGTTTCCTAATGCAATAAAGCGAATGAGCTCACTCGGTTTTTGTATTACTTTATTTACAGAACACATGCATGGACTACTTTATTTACAGAACACATGCATGGACAACTTTATTTAGCTTGTGTTTATATAAATACCCATAATACACAAAGGCAGTAGTTAAAAGTAAGGCCTACCCTGAGCAACACTTAAAATGGCATTAAATGGAGATTTAATAAGTTTTAACTCTGAATAGTCTTAAATACTGCAGCAGTGAAGGCTGAACTCTGGTCAGGCTAGTTTCTTGGATGCTTAAACCAGGACTGATCTGTAATTGTTTCACCATTTCAAAAAATCCATATAGTCTAGGCTTAAGACTAATTCAAGGTCTCCATCTAATGCAGCAGCAGACGGCTAGTCCTGATCAGTGAATTGAGTGGAATTGGGTCCTTTATCAGAAACACCTGACATGCAGTGACAGTACTATTTAAACAGGGTCAGTGTTTGGAAAGTTGTGGTGCCTGTAGTTGCAAAATAATACAAAAAAACATCATTTGATAAAGTAACTGTTATGCAACTTTTACAAAACATTACATTGCTGTAACTGAAAGTACATGAAGATAAAAGCACAGACACCTCAAAGCTGCCCAGTGACGTGAGGAAAGTAACCAGAGTCTGAATAAAATGTTCAGTATTGTAGTAAAACATGTTAAAAAGCTTGTGAGCCTGATCTTCAGTACATCTCTCCAACTGCAGCCCTGCAAACGAGAAGAGCGAGTGTGAATACAGTGATCAGGCCGTTCACATACAGGTCATTCAGGTCCAGCCAGGTGTTTTAAAAGCCTTACAGTGGCAGCTTTTATAAACATTAATTTCACTAATATTAATCTAATATAATCTTATCAAATGGTGGCCTGTAGGGCAGATCTCTGGACTGAACCTGTTCTATTCATATTGAGACGTATATAAAGAAGGATAGACACTGGTTCACCACCAACAGCTACTGAAAAAGCACACATTGGGTGAACACTAAAGCTAATAAGGGGAGAAAAGGGTCATTTTTCCCCAAAACTCAGCAGAGTACATTCAGGGGGAAGAACATTGTGCTTAAAGTCACTAAAGGTGGGTGAAACGGTGTTACACTATATTGCGGTATTTCAAGAAATTCACGACACAGAATGTCACAGTATTTATTTTCTCAAAGCTGATCAGTTGGAACAGAAAAAACAACCAATTATGCTTAAAATATTAAAAAAAAAACCAAATTTTATGATTTTTATTCAACATTTGACACACTGGGCTGTGCTAAATCCAGTTAGGACTAATTTTGCTCTCTGATGTCACTTGGAGACAATAATACAGTATGCTGTTTGGTCATAGCGTATATGTTGCAACATCATTGATCACGATAGTATCCTGCTCAGCCCTACTAGCCACCATGTTCTCGTAATAGCAACCAATTTACTGCAAATCAAGTATTCTGTAAATATAACAGACATTTGATTGATTCTTTATCAGCTCTCAGCATTAATTTAACTCCTTGTCTCCACCACAAACAATGCTGACTGCCTCTAGTGTGTCTGTGGTGATTTGTAATATGTGAACTGCAGTGTTCACTTTTTCACTGGGTCCAACACCACTTACCGCCGCGGGACCTCGGACACAGATGCGCTCGTAAGAAGCACGGAAGTAAAATATACTTTTATGAAACAGTTTTACTGTAAATACTTCAGCCTGATAATGTAGCCTGGTGTGGGTTCATACCAGCTTCTTCTTTCAAATGAAGCAAATCTGAACCCGTGAGAAGCTTCACATAAAAATATGAATTTAAATGATTAAAACTTGTGTGGAACGATTTATTATAAAAACAACAGGATCCATTCACTTCAATTCAGGCCCAAAGAGAATTCAGTGTCTCTCACAGTCCTGACACGGCTTGTTTTGGCTGGACTGTTTGGTTCCTTTTCTCTTAAAATTGCACCAAAATTGTAAACATTACCCAGAAAACAGATTTACAGAAAGGAAAATTTACATTTATTTAGTTTTTTTAATACAGATTTGTTTGTAAACTGCTTTCAAAACTGTGTGAAACTCAGTAAATGGCATGTTGTTGTTTAAATGTATACACAAAGATGGTTCTGTAATCAACGATTCTACATAGAACCATGAACAAAGAACCCATTGCATGATTGAAAGGTTCTCTGCATCATGAAATAGTTCTTCAGATTGATGGGGAATGCGTTGTACGTGGTTCTACGTAGAACCTTATTGAAAAGCGTTCTCCATAGCACCACAAAGGGTTTTGTTATTGTTACAAGCTTGACATGGTAACCATAGAAGAACCCTAAACAGAACCATTTTCAAAAATGTTCTATATAGAACCATCTCCAGCTCATTCTCCATCAATCTAAAAAACCATTTCATGCTGCAAAGAACCTTTTACTCATGCAAAGGGAACCCCTGAAGAACCATCTTCTTTAAGAGAGCAGTGTTACGGTGTCAAGCTTGTAACAATGAAAAGAACCCTTTTTGGTGCCATATAGAACCATATACAACACAATACATCGATCTGAAGAACCATTTCACCATGAATAGAGAGCTCACGGTTCTAAATAGAACCATTGCTTTTACTAAAGAACCATCTTTACGTGTGTAGGATCCTGGATACCATGAGTCGAGAACATAAAACAGACTAAAAACTAAACATCTTAATCAATCAGAGCTGCTAAAACAGTACAGATCTGTAAGAGAACATATGGATCCATTTTATGGGCTGTACTGTTGTGAAAAGCACACATACAGAACATTAATGTACGTATGAAATGGTAGAACCCGTGGAATGATGGAGAACATACTGTTCACTGATTCGGTCAGTCCTGGGAGATGGAGGGCAGTTTGAACTCTGCTATCTCCGAGTCTGGAGAGCTGCTACCGCTGTGGTCGCTGTATGTGTCGCTGTGAAGAGGCAGAAACAAAAACAGATTATATTATTATCATTATTATATTATATTATAGCAAAAATAATAAGCACTCAAATTGACCGGCGCAAAGTATCATTAGCAAATCATACCATCGCTGTCTGAACAAAACCTCGTATCTCCACACTGGTAATTTTACAGGAGGAAAAAACATCCTTAAATTTTATTATTTTTAAATTGGAAGTTAACGTAGAAATGATTTATTCCAAGTAATTTTGGAGCATTTCTATTGGACCATTCATCATGAAATTTCGGCACGACGCAAAGGGCAAATAGTGATTTCAAATGATGTCAACAAAGGATGTTTGGAGTAGATCAGTTTATCAGCAGCACAAACACAACTGCACGTCTTCTCAGGGATAAAACTGGCGGATCTGAATGGCAAGAAAATCATTTATAAACGAGGAGGGGCGAGTTTTGGACATTTCTCAACCTGGATTTTTGCTCTTTTATTCATGATGTTTATATTATGTTATTATATTTTGTGAAGGATAGAGGGCAACGCTTTATTTGGATAGTCCACTTTTGATGCTTTGTAGATATTTAATTTACTTTCAAGTTACATTCAGCTAAAATATCTACTAAATTCACCTTAACCTCAACCCAAAACCTAATCCTAGCTCTCCCCCTGGCCCTAATCCTGACCCAAACCTTAACCTCAACCCAAAACCTAATCCTAGCTCTCCCCCTGGCCCTAATCCTGACCCAAACCTTAACCTCAACCCAAAACCTAATCCTAACTCTCCCCCTGGCCCTAATCCTGACCCAAACCTTAGCCTCAACCCAAAACCTAATCCTAGCTCTCCCCCTGGCCCTAATCCTGACCCAAACCTTAGCCTCAACCCAAAACCTAATCCTAACTCTCCCCCTGGCCCTAATCCTGACCCAAACCTTAGCCTCAACCCAAAACCTAATCCTAACTCTCCCCCTGGCCCTAATCCTGACCCAAACCTTAACCTCAACCCAAAACCTAATCCTAACTCTCCCCCTGGCCCTAATCCTGACCCAAACCTTAGCCTCAACCCAAACCTAATCCTAGCTCTCCCCCTGGCCCTAATCCTGACCCAAACCTTAGCCTCAACCCAAAACCTAATCCTAGCTCTCCCCCTGGCCCTAATCCTGACCCAAACCTTAACCTCAACCCAAAACCTAATCCAAACTCTCCCCCTGGCCCTAATCCTGACCTTAACCCCAGCACGGTTTAGAATCACTCAGTTCCAACAGATAGTTTGTTAACAATTTGATCATCTGTAGATAATCAATAGTGGGACTATCCAGATAAAGTGAGACCGGACAGAGTTTATATGTTTATCTTTAGTATTATATATATAGTAATATATGTAGTAAGTAATAAGCTGTAACCATGTTATGTCGGCCTTACACCGAACGACTTTTCAAGCGATTTCACTGTTGCAGACAAATATCCATGTCGGAATAAAATCACGAGAGTCTTGTTAGAGTCGCGCCATGTCGTTTAGTGTGAGGTGGTGAGAGAGAGAGAGAGAGAGAGAGAGAGAGAGAGAGAGAGAGAGAAATCTCTAAAAACAGCAAATCTGCTCCACTTTAATACAATAATCATATTAAGTTAAAATGTAAACTGACCGCTTTGATATTTCAGGACTTTAAGAATGGCATTATTGAAGAATCGTTGCCGTTTTTCCTTTTTTTATTTATTTATTTTTTTTTGCTTTCTGTTACACTGTTTGTTTTGTTATGTAGTTCATAACATCCTGTCAGCAGTGCTGAATCGCTGCATGTTGTGTTGGTGTGTAAATCTTTATGTTATAAAAAAGTAGCTGCACATTTTACAGGTTAATTAAAGATTCTGGGTGATGATCTGCCAGAGTGAACAGCTCTACAGTGAACTGGGCCGAGCCCAGATCTGTACACACCCAGCCAGCGTATCTTCCCATCTGCACCACTACAGAGTGGAAGGAAAGGGGTTTCTCTGCTTGTATATTTCCACCAGGTGCATGATGGGAAATAATCTCAAAAGTCTAGTTGCAGTCTTGTCAATAGTGACACTGCAAGATCCCCAGTCTTTACACATCATAGTCTGACTAAAAATACTTCTATTATTGAGTGTCTTGCTCTCCCTTTGCTGCTGTAGCACTGAGCATTTCCCCCATCATGGGACGGATAAAGGATCATCTTAGCTTGCGTGAAAAGCTGCTGATACTGTACTAAAGTAATGCTCTGATGATGCTGTGTAGTGAATATAAAGTGCTTCATGCGTACAGATGCTGTTAGACCTGTTCCTGTAATCGGCCTGGACATCTCACTGCTCTATTCATAGACTTTATTTTTGTTTCTCCTCCTGCTGATGATCTCACAGTGTAGAGGAGACGGAGACTAAGTTCTCCCACCCAGACCAAGTCTAGGTGCGAAAGACTGGAAAATGTTTAAAGTGGATACTGTGGAGAAGAATTTGTGCCAGACGGAAAAGCAGAAAAACGTGAAATGAGGAACACGGGTCAAAACGAAAAGCCAAACCTCCATCATAGCGTCTATCATACCGTCTTCACCGCGCATGAGGATTTGCATTTAGGGAAATGAAAGCGCTGAGCAGGGCTGAAAGATCGATTTGCAATTTAAGAGCGCAATTTTCAAAAAATACTCTTTAAAGTTTCTCAAAAAAAGACGGTTCTTTAGTAAAGACAATCATTCTGTATAGAACCACAAACACTCAAAGACCCTGTTTGAATGCTTACATGGTTCTCTGCATGGAGAAATGGTTCTTTAGACTGATACGAGAACGTGTTGTATATGGTTCTGTACAGCACCAAAAAGGGTTCTGCTATTGTTACGATGTCAAGCTCGGAACAACAGAAGAACATTTCGGTGCTATACAGAACCATATCCAACACATTCTCCACTGTGCAGCACTTTAAACAGATCTTCATAGTTCAAGGCAGATTGTATTAAATTCTGATTTCAGCATTTAGTTTTTTAAAAGCAGATCCTCACGCCGACCTATGACCGCATCACAACACCGGAACTCTGTATCACTGCGCCATGATATGAAAAAACGCTTGTGCTATTAATGAATAATCTGACTCTAACGCTGCTCGCATGGAGCACCGAGTATACTGGTGAAGTAAGAACCCAGTTCTGTTTAAACTGAGGGGCTGACAACTTATGTTCTTAACTAGAACCAGGCTGATCAGCTAGCTAACAGGCTAAAAGAGCCAACAGCCTAAACAGCTCCATCATTAATACCACAGGCTTCAATTAAAGCACTTACAGTCTGATTAACTGTAAAACTGCAGTATAAAAGACTAAAAATGTCCCCTGAATGTTTTACACACTTCAAATGTCTGTGTTTCAGTCAGAAGTCGCGTCAAACCCAGGCTGAATCCCAAACGGCTCCGTACTCCCTAAACAGTGTTCCAGCTATGAAAGTTTAGAAATTCTACCCTCTACAGCCAAACAGTGCATCATGTATCGAGTGTGGATGAGTCTGAGTCCCAAATGACTGTTTCTTAGCTGTATTTTGCTCTGTTGGGCTGCAGGATCCAGTATTTAAACTCCTACGTAGTGCACTATGTAGGGAGCAGGGAGCCGTTTGAGATTCAGCCCCAGGGTGAGAAGAGGGGCCGCTGGATTGGTGCTAAATAAGCCTTGCAGTGCTAATTTGGTGACCAAAAAAGTACTTATAAAGCTAAAGTTTCTGCCTTAAACAGTGCTGTGTTATCATATGTTCATTACTATACGACAAAAAGTTAAAGTTCATGAAATGACCACAATATACAGCGATGGGTGACTGAATGTTCTCCTCATTCAATGGTCCATGGTTGCTTAGCAACGATACCAAACTCTAAAGGAACTACATTTCTCGGTGGAATACTTGTTTTTGACTATTATTATTAATAATAACTTAAAATATGATAAAACAATTTTTTTCTGAAAATAATTGAAGTTGGCCGCCATTTTATAAAAGCAATAATCCACAAGAGGCCACGCCTCACTGGGCATATGGCCATACGCCATCGTACATCACAGAAATGCTCAGTGTGAATAGTGCAGTTTACAGGGTCGTTCCAGTGATTGGATCAGCCTCAGGTGCCGAGAGCTTTTACAGAGCTGGGAAAATCTGCTTTTAGCTGCAGCACCAGTGAGCTGGACTTCAGGAAACTAAAACTGTGCACTCTCTGGAGTCACATGAACATTTAAACTTTTAGTCTCTAAACACCTCCAATCAGCCTGACACTGCTTTATTAGATTTTACTCAACTTTTAATATGACTGTGTTTTAGCTGTGTCTCAGCTACTGTTTTACTTTACCTTTTATTATTGTTTCTTTCTTTTATTAGTATTCTTTTTATTTATTTTATTACTATCAACTCATTATCTTACATCTTCAATTTCTTTTATTTAATTAATTTGTTTTTATTTATTTTATCCTCACCTGCTCTGTTACTTGATAAGTTACTGTATTGTGATTTTAATCGTTTATTGATTTAACAGTTTATCTCTACCTTCTTATTATAAAATTTTACTATTATCATTTTTATTATTTAATTATAAATATTTAATTATAAATTCTCAATCCCTGATTCTTGTATTACTCCGCTGCGTTGTAAATGAGGGTCTCCCTCAATGTATTCCGAGTTTAAATAAAGGTTGGTTGATTGACTGATGGATGCGTTCCTGTGACTTTATCACGGGGAAAGGGGTTCTTAGGCACGACGAGCCTCTCGTGGCTTATTTCTTTATTAACGTGTTGTGAAATTGTGAGATTTCATGATGCTTTCAATTATTACCTAAACAACTGAAACCAAACTGTTGTGAAGTCAAATATATGAAGTTATATTATCTGTTAAATTAAGCTCTTCTAATGCAGAAGCTGGGGGTGTGACTGTAGGGGTCCGTACCGTGGTGAGAGGCGGCAGCCCTTCTGCAGGTAGCTGTGCAGCTTTCCGGCCGCAGCCAGCAGCAGGCCGAAGTACGGAGGCGAGGGCTTGATGGGTCTGGACGTGAACTCTGGGTGGTACTGCACGCCCACGAAGTACGGGTGGTCTGAAAAGTCAAAGAAAGAGATTGATAGACTCGTCTGAGCCCAGAAACACGTCACAACACCTCACCACGGGCTTTGGACACTCCTGATGTTGGAATGAGAGCATTTTTACATTTTTACAAGGTAAAACATCAATTTTCAATTTAATACGGCCGAAACAGAGTTTCACTTACTCTCCCGGAACAGAGGCCTTACCTTCCAGCTCTATGACCTCCATCCTCTCTCCCTCTACATCCTGACCCACGAAGAGGAAGCCTTTGTCCTCAAAATGCTGCTTCAGCTCTGGGTTCACCTGCACAGGTGAGTCACATTCAGTACCCTAACAAATAAACCGTTAGTCTAAGCAAAGACTAACAGTGGTCAGATAAACAGAACAACAGCATTATAGTGCTGGCAACCGACCTCAAAACGATGTCTGTGCCTTTCCTCAACATAGTCTACGTCTCCGTACAGCTTTCCTTAAAGAAACACAGCAGGCTGATAAACACCAACGCCCGTACCGACGTGTGCTGCATTATGCTAAATAAAACTGGCTCTTACTCAATATGCTGGACTTTGTTTTGAAAATGGTCCGCCTCTTTCCCAGCCTCATTGTGCCGCCCATTTGTCCAGGATTGTGCTCAGGCATGTCGATCACCTGCAAATACATCACACAACAGCTATGATTACATGCATACAGAAGCCTGAGTTTTCAGTTAGTCTCAGAAACTGAACCGAACCAAGACATCAACATTGCGTCTCATTCAAAGGACCGTTGCCAGGTAGAGCGCGACCTTAGCAGCTGCGTTCTGCGGCGGAGCCTCATCTGCTTCTATAGCCCTGAATTATACAGCCTGCCGAGGATTCGAGAGTTTGTTGAGGAGTTTGAACAGTGAGCGAGAGGTGAGGAAGGCAGCTATCAAGGTAAATAAAAAAAGAGCTTGTTTGAAAAAGAAAAGCTGAAAATGGACTAATGTCCACCCACAGCCTGCAGCATTTTTGCACCTTTGAAGAGATTCAGCACGAAGCCTTACTATTTTTTATAATAATAATAATAATACTTTTTATGTAGCACTTTTCATGCCAGAGGATATGACTGAACACCCCTGCCTTAATCGGTACATGGCGATCAAACTGTGCTTTTGACACGACCATATTTAAGTTACATTAATATCAAAATATGTGCGTATAAATGTCATTCTGCTTTTCAATAGTATGTCAGTCACTGATCCGATTGGCTCGACCGTCAACAATTTAAAATATGCAATGAAGTTCAGAGCAACTCACCACAGGGTGCTTTGATTCTGGGTCGAATTCAGTGGAGTTGGCATCTGAGAGAGAGAGAGAGAGAGAGAGAGAGAGAGAGAGAGAGAGAGAGAGAGAGAGAGAGAGAGAGAGAGAGAGAGAGAGATTTAACAGACAGCACCACTACAGTCAACTAAAACAACTACTAAAAAAAATACACTTAAAAAAGATGGTTCTCCTAGGGTTCTCTAGTAAAGAAAATGGTTCTATATAGAACCATGAACACTCAAAGAACCCTTTGCATGATTAAATAGTTCTTTGCATAATAAAAGTCTTCTTCAAATTGATGGAGAACATGCTTTAGATGGTTCTATATAGCACGTTTTTGAAAAGGGTTCTATACAGCATCAAAAAGGGCTTTTCTATTGTTACAAGCTTGACATAATAGAAAAACCCTTTTTGTTGCCATATAGTGTCTTTTTCAAAAAGGTTCTATATAGAACCATATATAGCACATTCTCCATCAATCTGAAGAACCCCTTCATGATGCAAGGAACCATTTAATCATGCAAAGGGTTCCTTGAATGTTCATGGTTCCATATAGAACCATTTTCTTTACTACCCTAAGAGAACCATCTTTTTGAAATGTAGCAGTAAAAAAATACATAAATAAAAACATTTCAGAAACACAAGAACTAAATCAAAACAATAATGTCCACTTCAAAATACATACAAAACAGAATTACTGAGGAAAAAACGTTAGTTTTAATTCTCAGTGAGTGAATGAGAGTTTAGAAGTGGAGCTCTTCTGCGTTTGGCGGTCTTTAAGGAAAGCCGGAGTCTACCTTTGTGCTCATTTGATTCGCCGCTTATCAGACACCTGCCATAACAGCGCTTATCATAAAAGCTAAAGACTAAACTAAAATTACTACTTTTCAAAACATAAAAGCAAAACTAAAAGAAAAAACTCAAATCTAAAACCAAAATTAAAGACTGAATAAAAATAAAAACTAATGAAGGTGTCAGAGCGATGATGACGATAATGATGACAGGGCTCTGAACCCTCCGCAGTGCAGTGGGGTGTTTAAAGCTAAAGCAGTAGGACTTGCCTGCCCAGCCCAGCATGTTCCTGGCGAATTCACAGACTGCGAGCTGCATTCCCAAACACACACCTGAAAACATCAAAGCACAGGTGAATCAGGCTGAAAGAGGCGTCAGGACGTCTGATCAGGAATTCTCTTTAAACCTTAGATCTCACCTAAGAAAGGCTTCTTCTGTTTGCGGGCCCAGCTGATGGCCTGAATCTTGCCTTCGGTTCCTCTCACTCCGAAACCACCCGGTACCAGAATCCCACTGCAGGAACACCGAGAGAAACGTTAAAGACCCCCTTTTTAATCTGGGTCCAGTTTGGTACCACAGTGACTATTTCACATGTTTTAAATTAGAGAAATTTGTTCAGTGCTGTTTAAAAATTATTGGTGGGGCACAAAATAGACCAGAACCCATCATGACCCTTTTATTAAAACATATCGCTGCTGTCGGAACAAAACCTCGCATCTCCATTTTTGTCGTTTTTCAGTTTCAGCATAATCTGAAAATGCCTGTTGTTCTTTACATTGTGTGTAAATTTCATGATGAATGGACCAAAAGAAACGACCCAAAATTACTAGGAAAAAAGTCTGGTTCCATTGACTTCCATTACAAGTAAAGTAGGTTTTTTCCTTCTCCTGTAAAGTTGTGATTTTTGGGAATACACGGTTTTGTTCCGACAGCAGCGATACACAAACTAGACTACAGGGGGTCCTGGGGGGGTGCAGGACCTCCTAATTAACCTCTCAGACCCCCTGAATATCTCAAATTGAAAATTCTGGTCCCTGAAAATAAATGTATTCTGATGTTATTCTGTCCATTAGTGTCACTTCAGTCAAAATGAATGAATTTGAAGGGAAATCTGCTCAGCAGCTTCGTTCGCCTCTGCAGGCGCCTCTATGAGAGCTCTATAATATCATATCATAGGAAATACTACAACAACGAAATCGCCAACTATAAACGCAAACACGAACGCTTCCGGTTCGCTCTCTTCTGTGAAAGTATAAGAATCACGCCAGACGCACAGCGACGCGTAGCAGGGCGCTGCTATAGAATGCCAGCAGGGAGCCGATAAACACCAGGTTCAGGTATATTTTTTCGCTCTACTACCTACATCTGCATTCTCTCCAATTACTCTCCATATACGTATATTATATTATATTTACATTTACATTTATTTTTTAACCACCCTGCCGTCCTTATTTGTTCATACTGTAATTGTCAATTGTCGGTTACTTTTATGCACTTTGTATGTAAATAACACTATTTTGCACTTTTGGTTAGATGGTAACTGCATGTTATTAGCTCTGTACCTGAACTCTGACCAATGACAAAGTTAAATCTAATTTAATCTAATGAATTTAATGAAATAAAGCGCTCAACATCACTAATCGCTTACTACCTTTTCACAAACTGGCTGTTTTTGAGGTCAAAAATATGAGCTGAAAAAGGCCGGATAGTGACGTTAGCTGAGGCCGCTTGTTTACCTAAAAGTCTGGCTGCCGTTCTCTGTACATGTAAAGCCACATGTGAGCTACTGTGGCTTTCTGTTATCTCGATATGGCTTTAATGCAGTGACAGCAAAATGCTGCGTGGTGCGCTGTGACGTGCTGAGAACATGAACCGTGCTCGGAATGAAGAGGGGGTGCATTTGTTTTGCTGTTATGTTTCCTCTGTTTTCTGTTCAGTTAACGCAGGAGTCGCAACCCAAACGTTAAGAAGAGCTATTTTGTCCCGTTTCAACAAAAATCAAACCACCTCGAGAACCACAACATTTTATGTCCATTTTATTGAAGTAACGTTTTACCATCTTGGCTGTAAATATGTCTCAGCTATAGCTGCTTTTCTCACATCTCCAGCAGGAAACTTTTCCTCAAACGTAGAACAGTTTCTTGTAAAATTTCTCTCAATGTTCGAATTTTCATGAGGCTGAAGTCGCTTCTCATTCGCCAGCTTCTTGTTCGAATTTTCCCGTTCCACCTTAAATGGTGCCTGATGCGCCAGAATGTAACTGCTGCGCCGTTTAAGGTGGAACTGGACAATTCGAATGAGAAGCTTCAGCTTCGCGACTTTTTAGTGTTTGTCAGTTTCTCCTTGCAGATTAAACGTATCAGGAAACCAGCTGGAGTGATTATAAATGCAAAGGAGTCCATTTATCTCTAAATCATCGATGTTAGTCTCAAAAGATTTTATGGCCACAAAAATCTAAAAAAGCGCTGTTCGCCTTGGCAATGTGCTTCCATGAGTTTGGGGGGCAGATCCTCTGAAGGTGCACTGAAGGGAGGGGTGCATTTGTTTCACTGTTAGTGCGAATATCAACGATCGTTCTCCAGAATCGTGCTGAAATGCGATCTGTACTGGCCCCATTTAAAATTCTTTTTAAAAATAGGTTTCCTTTTGTGTTCTGCTGCTTCCAACAGACGTCCAAATGATCCAGCCATCTAGTTCAGGTTCTGCAGATTCCATAGACGTGAAACACTCACATACTGCAGTCAGAAAAGGATCCACCGTGAGCTTAAATAGCCCAGGAACGGCTTGAGGCTCTAAGTGTTAATGCGCTATTAAATGCTGGCTTTAACACAGAACCGGCGTGTGGCACTGCTGCCGGCTGCTTTAAATTACACCTTTAGAAGTACTTAAAGCACACTCAGACTGCAGTTCAGGGCATTTGCAATTCAAAACTCAAAACACTTCAGTGGGGACTTCTTACATAGATCAGATTATCACTGTTAGAAATGGCAGGATCAATAAAAATTCCTCATTTTAAGGACAAAACATTGTGTATTTCACTCACTCTGCACTGCACAGTTTCTGCCAAGCTTCGTGGTACTTCACAGGTTCCTCCTGCAGAGTACTCGGCTCCAGGTCTGCAGAATCAATATACTGATGAAAGACAGAGGAGAAGTAAATAAAGTGTTAATAGATGAGGGGATAAGATATGGAGAGAAAACAAGACAGCTTGAGAAAAGATGCTGTTTAAAGCACTTTAGGCAACACAGGACATTCATCTCTCTCTCTCTGCATATCTGTGAAGTAGATAACAGTGCTGGACATCTATGCTGGATTTGCTGTCAGACAACAATATTGAATTTTAGGTTTATCAGTATTGACAGATAAAAACGCAGCTTCAGACTGTTTTGAAACAGGAGTTCAAAATATATAATGAAAAAACTTGGGAGCCACAACATTTTATGTCCATTTTATTGAAGTAATGTTCTACTATCTTGGCTGTAAATATGTCTCAGTGTACGCTAAAAAATATAATATAAACAAAAACACAGACTTACTTTGCTCTGCTTTAAGCTTTAGCTCAGCTATAGCAACTTTTCTCGCATCTGCAGGGAACTTTTCATCAAAAGTAGAACAGTTTCTTGTAAAATTTCTCTCAATGTTCGAAATTTTTGGAGGATGTCAGCTTCTCATTCAAATTTTTCCATTCCACCTTAAATGGTGCCTAAAGCGCCAGAATGTAACTGCTGCGCCATTTAAGGTGGAACTGGACAATTCGAATGAGAAGCTTCAGCTTCGCGACTTTTTAGTGTTTGACAGTTTCTCGTTGCAGATTAAACGTATCAGGAAACCAGCTGGAGTGATTATAAAGGACTTTTTGTCTGTTTATCTCTAAATTATCGATGTTCGTCTTGAATCTTTCTCTCTGCCTTTTTGTTAGCTACTAGTTACAACGTTTGCAAAGGGTTTTATGGCCATAAAGATGTAAAAAAAAGCGTTGTTCGCCTCAGCAATGTGCTTCCATGAGTTTGGGGGCAGAGCTTCTGAAGGGAGGGGTGTATTTGTTTTGCTGTTGAGCTCAAATATCAACAATTGTTCTCCAGAATCGTACAGGGTGCCTTTGTACGGGACTAACTGTGCTCTTTATAATGAAACATGCAGCTGGTCAGTGTCTACAAGCACTGATATAAACAACATGTTCAGAAAAGCATATTGTATTCTGGCAATTTAATCTCAATAACAATATAAACTGATCAGACATAACATTCTGACCACCTCCTTGTTTCTACGCTCATTGTCCATTTTATCAGCTCCACTTACTATATAGGTGCACTTTGTAGTTCTACAGTTACAGACTGTAGTCCATCTGTTTCTGATACTTTGTTAGCCCCCTTTTACCCTGTTCTTCAGTGGTCAGGACCCCCATGGACCCTCACAGAGCAGGTACTATTTGGGTTGGTGGTGGTGTGTTAGTGTGTGTTGTGCTGGTGTGAGTAGATCAGACACAGCAGTGCTGCTGGAGTTTTTAAACACCTCAGTGTCACTGCTGGACTGAGAATAGTCCACCAACCAAAAATATCCAGCCAACAGCGTCCTGTGGGCAGCGTCCTGTGAGTCCATGGGGGTCCTGACCACTGAAGAACAGGGTAAAAGGGGGCTAACAAAGTATCAGAGAAACAGATGGACTACAGTCTGTAACTGTAGAACTACAAAGTGCACCTATATAGTAAGTGGAGCTGATAAAATGGACGATGAGCGTAGAAACAATGTTATGCCTGATCAGTGTATATTGTCATACTGCCCAGCCCTAATTGCCCAGCATCATACTAAAGTAGAGGAATATGGGATATCTGGGACGGGGCCGATAGCACACCCACCTTAACCTCTAGTTTGTGGCTGATGGCGAGGGCCGAGTGCTCCAGGGCTTTGATGACGGAGGCGTACGAGTCAGAGAACTTCGTGTACTTCCCAACGAGAGCAATGGAGCACTGCTCCAACAGTCTGTCTGATCTGAGACACAAACATGAGCACAAAATTAAAGTCATACCCCAATAGTGCACTGAAGAAAACCCAACATGCAAAGAGAATGTGAGAAAAAACATCTTATATCCTGATTATAATCTTTACTTTATCTTAAATCAAGTATTCAGCTTTAATCAAACAGCTTTATCTTCCTGTCTGGGGACAGAATAATCTGCAGGAAGACAAACAACCCGACATGCTGACAAATAATCTTTTTTAAGACACCGAGAGGGTGCAGGTATTTCCTGTGCAAGCGAGAAGGGAAACAAGACAGCGTCCGCCTCTGTGGTTGATGAAATGTTTATTAAAATGAAGTTAACACCTTCTAGAAATAGGGCTTCTGTCCTGAACTGGAAGTTCACCCCTTAGGAGTACGTGCTCTAACATTGGCCTACGTTTATCAAGCATTTCAGATTAAGAACACTGATCTAAGATCAGGTCTCGTCAGGTCATGGAAGTTCATTCAGTGCTAGATTTAAAAAAACACAAGCTGAACTTAAATCAGTATCATTACTCCAGGGAGTTTAATAAATATGGGCCATTGTTTTTAAGTGTCATGTTACAAAATCCATATTTGGTGAGGTTTTACTGTGTAACCAATCATAATCTTTACATTAACTGTTCTGAAGTGAGTGTATAATCCATTGCGAGAGGATGGATGTTTGAGACCTCTCAGTGCAAGATGAAACCCTCCCAGTCCCAGAATAAAGGAAGATTTTCATTGACTAAACTGCACGATTCTCATTTTTTTTGACTGAATCATTTTTCCCCAACATCAAGCACCCGCAGACACCAACAGCCAATAGAAAAAGGGGGCTCTGAATCAACTGAACCATTATTTTAAATATCTGCAGTCTTAGGCTACATTTACACAGCAGGTAAAAGTGGCCCAAATCTGATTTTCTCATCAAATCCGATTTTTTTGTTTGGTTGTTCACACTAACCTTTAAAACGTGATCTGTATGCGACATCAGTCTGAATAGATCAGCTCCTAAACTGACCCACATGCGCAAAATAATGATGCTTCACGTGGCTCGTCCAGAGGTAAACAGTCATGACGGCCAGCGAACGCCAGTCGCTCCCGCAGTTTTCAGTTTCATCCTCGCCAGCATCACAGGAGCGAGTATAAAGATCCAGTGGTTGACAGCTGGACTCATCACCCACAATGTGTTCGAGCTCGCAGTAAAAAGGGCGCGTTATTCAGCCACGGCCACTTTGGTTCGTCTCCTCGGATTCTTTAAGCTGTTCTCTGACGCTGCAGCCTCCGCCTCCTCTGGCCGCGCTCGGCTGTTCCGTTCAAAACCTCTTCGAACACGGAGGAGTTGCAATACGTCTCTTCTAATTTTTGGGTACAGAAACATCAGACTAAATGTTTATGAGTCTCAGCAGCGCGAAATTATGACGAATGTAGAGTTGGACTGACGTAAAAGTCGCATGAATTCCGATCTGGCTGTTCAGACTGAGTCACATTGCCTCAGATTGGATACGTATCGGATTTCAGTACCACGTATGAAAGCATCTCAAATCAGAATTGAAAATGTCAGATTCAGTGTGTTTATCTGTTCACACAGACACACAGACACACATCTGAGTCACACATGAAGAAAAAGATCAGATTTGGGCCACTTTTACCTGCTGTGTGAACGTAGCCTTAGTTATGCACATTACATTAGTACGGGAAGTAAATTACCCCATTATGCAAAATAAATAGATATATCAATGCAATGCAGTCCTTATCTAGTAAGTCACTCGAGTCATAGTACTGGATTACATAGTGTTAGCAAAGCAACTATTATGATCTGTTTGGTCTCCATGACGACTCAGTTTAGGACAGTAGCTGTTCCAGAATAACAGTTCCTACCTTCATAATCTCATCATGAACTCCAGATAAGAAAACAGCATCACACAAACATCCTAACTAGACTAAACCTCCTAAATCCTGTCCTAACTTTAGGATGAACCCCAACAGGGTCCTCACTTCTGTTTAAGGTCCGTTTCTATGGTTTTTAGGCAGCTGTGTCAGCAGCATAGTTCACTACCAGCATAATGAGCTCCATTTATTCCTACTGTAAAACGCTGCTTTCACTGTGAGATGATTTTCTTTTCTAACTCTGCGTTTTAAAGATCTCAGACGCTGCAGACTCGATCTCCACCGCCCCTCTGATCACCTTCGTGTGTTAATGTTGATGATGAAATATTACAGTGATGGTGGTGAATAATGAGGAGACGGAGCTGAACGTGTGTCTGTTTATTAGGAGGAGTAACGTTAGCACGCTCGGCTAAAGCGTTTGGGAAATGGAGACTGAAACTGGGGAGCGGCGATGGTTAATATTTCCTAACTGGAGATAAGAGGCTGTAAGACAAGACAAAATTCCTAAATGAAGATCAGATTTCCTTCTGTAATATAAATTTGTGAAAAATCTTAACCTAATACAAAAGATAGGAAGTGTCTGTAATACAGACCCAGGCCTTCACTGTTGATAACAGAAATGCTGTCACTGCATTTATTTGATTTGTATTTTAAAAAGCTTTTTTATTTTGTTTGTGTCACAAACTACATTTTTGGTCTAGCAAACACATTAATAGCAATATAATATGGTAATAACTCATTTTTACATGACCGTTTCCCATAAATTCCCTTGGAATTAAACAGGCTGTTTTTGTCAGTGCTTTAAATGCAAATGAGCTCTGTTCTGATTGGCTGTGCCTCCACTCCGGGCTGAAACACTCCTTATAACATCAACACGAGTGGGTGGGGCTAAACTGCTGTAGGCAAAAAGGTAGATATGTTGGTTTTTGTGACATCATAAAAACAGTGACTGATTAGCAGCTCAATTTCCATTTCGCTCCTGTCGGAAAACAAAATCTCAATTTTTGTCGATGTTGAGTTTTTGTCATAATCTGAAAACGCCTCTTGCTCTTTACGTTGTGTGTAGATTTCATGACAAATGGACCAAAAGAAACGGCCCAAAATTACTCGGAAAGAAGTCTGGTTCCATTGACTTACATTAAAATGAAGGTATGTTTTTTCCTTCTCCTGTAAAGTTACCGTTTTGGAGATATGAGGTTTTGTTCCAGCAGTGACGATTTACAGACCACATGAACTGAGGAGAGAACTCGTTTTCAAACCTTCGCAATGTTTACAGACCCTGCTCTTACTTTTAAAACAACAAGGAAACATTTTTCCTTATATGTGCCCTTTAATGACTTCAAGAGGACAAACAAAACGAAAGAATCGTAGATGTTTTATTCACACCTGTCTGACATCTCCTTCCACTTGGTGAGCATCTTCCTGGGCCTGCTCTCGATGGGCAGGTCCAGTCTGCGGCAGAAGTAGTTCACCACACCCTGGTCCTCCAGCAGCAGGGGCACTCTGTAGATGGACGAGACGTCATGGACACAAATCACCTGGACAGAGAGGAGAGATCGCACGTTAACCAGCAGTCTGTGATGTAACCCAGTGATTAGATCGTTCTGAATTCGAAGGGTCAGGCTTTTTAGGTTTGAGGAACGGTCAGGAGTCTTGACGATGGACCAGACAATCAGATCTGTCTTATCAGCATTTACTCAAGTAAAATTTGGGTGGATTTGTACTTTTGCAAATGATAATACTTTTACTCAAGTAAATCAGCGAGATAAGTGATCGTTTTTCTTCAGTTTCATTCTAATTGACAGCATTAAAGCCCCTAATTTCTCAATATTTGTGGCAGATATTTTTACTGTACACTCTCTAAAAAGATGGTTCTTCAAGGGTTCTTTAGCAAAAACAACAGTTCTATATAGAACCATGAACACTAGAACCATTTGCATGATTAAATCGTTCTTCAGATTGATGGATGCCTTTGAAAATGGTTCTATATAGCACAAAAAAATTATTCTATTATATACAGGCTTGACATTGTAACAATAGCAGAACCCTCTTGGTGCTATACAGAACCCTTTTCAAAAAGGTTCCGTATAGATCCATATACAACACATTCTCCATCAATCTGAAGAACCCTTTCATGACGCAAAGAACCATGGTTCTTTGAGTGTTCATGGTTCTATATAGTACCACTGTCTTTACTAAAGAACCCCTGAAGAACCATCTTTTTTGAAAGTGTAGCCATTATATCACTAACAGTATTTTACTGCAGTATGATTTTACTCCACCCACATCTGCTTATTACTGCATAACTCTTCACATATCTGATCACACGGTTTACGGTCTGATTTAACAGTTAATAAATAAGCACGGCTTTCATTTCACTTTTAATAATCAGAGAACATAATCAGCCGCTGCAGTAACACTGATGTGGTGCTGGCCTGAGTGGATCAGACACAGCAGTGCTGCTGGAGTTTTTAAACACCTCAGTGTCACTGCTGGACTGAGAATAGTCCACCAACCAAAAATATCCAGCCGACAGCGTCCTGTGGGCAGCGTCCTGTGACCACTGATGAAGGTCTAGAGGATGACCAACACAAACTGTGCAGCAGCAGATGAGCTATCGTCTCTGACTTTACATCTACAAGGTGAACCGACAAGTTAGGAGTGTCTAATAGAGTGGACAGTAAGTGGACACAGTGTTTAAAAACTCCAGCAGCACTGCTGTGTCTGATCCACTCAGACCAGCACAACACACACTAACACACCACCACCACGTCAGTGTTACTGCAGTGCTGAGAATGATCCACCACCCAAATAGTACCTGCTCTGTGAGGGTCCATGGGGGTCCTGACCACTGAAGAACAGGGTAAAAGGGGGCTAACAAAGTATCAGAGAAACAGATGGACTACAGTCTGTAACTGTAGAACTACAAAGTGCACCTATATAGTAAGTGGAGCTGATAAAATGGACAATGAGCGTAGAAACAAGGATGTGGTCAGAATGTTATGCCTCATCGGTTCACTTACATAAGGTTTTACAGTGACCTGACAGACAAAACTCACCTGTCCAGGTTCCACGTGACAGAACATGGAGATTTTCTCCTTCACTGAGTTATCAAGGGGAGTGGAGCAGCGGCACATGATCTTAAAAACAAAAAAACAAGAATGACAAATTATCATTTTGCACAATCGCTCACTAACATGCACACATTTTGAAGTAACACCAGTATCACTGCAAACCTGTGTAGAGTGCTGTAGTGATTTTTGTTAACATCTTAACTGTCTAAGCCATGTTTTGTTGTTTTTTGGGGGGGTTTTTGCCCGAAGCAGCATACCCAAAAAAAAGGGGGTGCTGTTCCCACATACTTTGGGCTACAGTCATGATCTTGGTCTCATTTGAAAAGTAACACTCTTGGGCTTTTTCTCAGTCATCAGAATAACTGTATGAAGACTAGAATGAATTTTTAGATTAAGATTAAATGACCCTTATTAGTCCCACAACGGGGAAATTTCACCTCCGCAATCTAACCCATCTGTGCAGTGAAACACCACACACACTAGTGAAGACACACACTAGGGGGCAGTGAGCACACTTGCCCAGAGTGGTGGGCAGCCCTATCCACAGTGCCCAGGGAGCAGTTGGGGGTTAGGTGTCTTGCTCACTTCAGTCATGTACTGTCAGCTCAGGAGATCAAACTGGCACACAGGGCTGGTTCCCTAACCTCCAGCTCCAAAGCAGATCAGTGACCCGTACTTTAAAATGAAGGAGTTTATCTCAGTCTGACTCTCAGATCTCTAAACTAATTACTGCCTATTCCTCAAAGTTCGCCAGCCTAGTTCACTTACAACCACACCTGAGCCTGATCCTGCTCATTATGTGCCCATGTCGCAAATGAGGGGATCGTAAGTGCTGTAAATAACGGATCATAAAATAGTTTGTGGGAATAAATCCTGAGATGTCCGTCTTTCTAACAGTGTACTGAATCACTATATTGCTGAATGACTTGCTGCATGAAAACGAACAGGTATTAAAAGCTGAAGAGTGCAGTACCAGTACTGTGATCTAAAAAAGCTTAATCTAGATGTCAAAAAAACTTGGACAACACCCCAGATGACAGAAACTTAGCTGCGCTTGTCCTGTTTATGAGATGATGAAACTAGTCTCTCACCAGGTCTGGGGACAGGCCGAGTCCTCTCAGCTCTCTGACGCTGTTCTGGGTGGGTTTGGTCTTCTGCTCACCTGTAGCACTGGGCTGAATATTAGACACAATGTAAATAAACAAAATATAGGAGAATGTTTAAAACATATAAATATATTGTGTAAGACCCAAAAAATTAATCCTGATAGCCAATATCACATTTTTATACAGTCAAAATTGAAACGCTCTAAAAGGCTTAGTTAAATAGTGCATTACTGACTGACATGATCATCAATACACACTGTGATCATCTGCAGAAATTTATCACAATAAATCAGATCATCATGATCCAAGTCTGACTCATGTGACACTCAACACCCAGTTAGTCTTTTGTTTGAAAACCAAAATACTGCCTAACTGGTGTTCAGGTTCAGAGCAGACATTGTTTTTGACAACTTCAATTTCATTTTAAGTCCCTGTTGCCCTGATAAATAGACCAAAAGAAACGGCTCAAAATGACTTGGAAAAAACTCTAGTTGCAAAGACTTACATTAAAAGTAAAGTATGTTTTTTTCCTCTTTTGTAAAGTTTTCATTAGCCACGTTTACATGCAGCCTAATAATCCAATTATAATCCGACTAATAGCGCAATCGGAATAGAATACGTCCATGTAAACACCTCAATCGGGATAGTCTAGTCCGATTGAGGCCATTCGGAATACAGTTTCTATCTGACTGATCGAGGTGGGTAATCCTGTAAATAATCTGTTAAATAGAAGAATAATATCCGTGTAAACGCCTGTATCCGATTACATTCCCTATCAGAAAGTCCAAGTCCGTTCTGATCATGTTCGTCGCGTCATAGTGAGAGTTTATACCGTTCAACATGGCAGAGCAGAAACTGGTCTGCAGAGGAGACGAAGTTTATGCTCTGATCTTTAAAAGACGGCGGTGGGACGGACGTCCAGCTTATGTGTCTCAGAACACGACGTCTTCCTCTCAGCCTTCTTTAATAAGGACATGTGAAGGACGTTTTCCTGAGTCTGACATCATTTTAAAGCAGTTAAAAACACAAGCACTGCTCACTGCTGCTCATCTCACTCTGACTGGACTCACGTGATGCTGGTTGTCATGGTGACGTCTACACTAAGTGGTTCTCCACGCATGTGCATCATTTTGAATCGGATTACTTGTAGTGAGCATGTAAACGGAGATCTTCCATCAGATTTTTGAGTAGAGTAAGAATAAACACCTCAGTCTTAATCTGTAATCGGAATGTATTCAAATAATATCAGTACTTTAATGGCAAAATTTTCATCAATACCAATAAATCTGTGAATCGTTTAGATCAGCCACAATTTCATCGACCACATAATAAATCAATGGTGAGTAGTTGGCATTTTGCTGAAAATGACAGACCTAAAGAAGCGTGAAAGTATCCTGCATCACATACTGCAGAGTGGTTGGCTAATCAGGAACGAGCGCTCACCTGAGGAACCAGACTGACGTGGATGTTACAGAAATTCTCCCTCTTCACTTTAAACTGGAACTGTCTGAAAGCCTCGACGAAGGGCATGCTCTCGATGTCTCCGACTGTGCCGCCCAGCTGCAGAGACCAAGCACACAAACATAGATCACACAACATAGCAGAGCTACCACAGATATACATACCTAGATGCCGTGTTGGGTCCAGCCAGGCACGTCAACGGCGCCACCATTTCGGGGCGGTCAACATCGCTGCTGGACTGCATTCAGTACCATTACAGAGCGGAAGTTTAAGTAAGATACCGTCCAAAATTCAACTGTTTCCAGAATATTGCTCTCAGAAAGTGGGATAGGATTATATAACGGAGGGAACGCAGCGATCCACACTCATGTGTAGATGTGGCCGTGTGGTTGGTGAAGCACAGAGAACCTGTTGATGTGATTGTTTTTCCTCTGGTTTTATATTAAGCTTATTTCATTTAATAGTCTATTCAGGGGGTCTTAACTCTATGTAGTAGTTATTTATTTACAATGATGGTTAAAGCTTTGTAGTGGTAAGTTACAGCATTCCTTAACCCCTGTAGATATTCATAATAGATTAATGTTAGCACCTTCTTACACAAACCTGAAGTTAGCTTCTTATTTGCCAGCTTCTTGTTCAAATTTTCCCGTTCCACCTTAAATGGTGCAGCTTCAGGCACCGGAAAGTGACTGCTGCACCATTTAAGGTGGAATGGGAAAACTTGAAGCAGCGGGCGAATAGTAAGTCGACTTCAACTTTATTTTTGTGTGTATTAAGATTAGAAGTGATTCACACATTGATGGATTTGCTGATGTGCGTGAGTTTGTGTTTTTACTCTCGCTAAACTCTGCAGACTGAATATTTCTCTGCTGGTCTGGACTGCTAATTATCAATTATATTTAAGTTATTAAAGTAATAAAAGCTACCGAGAGCAGATCCGAGCAGCCTGGATTAATCTGTCTGAGGATTATAACTAAACAGATTTGGTGAAAATCGGTTGAGTAATAAGGAAGTTGTGGCTGATTTAATCCTGAGACTCATCGTCTCTCAATACAAGTGAATCTGCTCACAAGCGGATCTTGACCTCTCCAATATGGCGGACGCGCAGACGTATCGCCTCAGACAGAGAACAACAGACAACACGGCATCTAGATATCAATATCTATGAGAGCTTCCCACAGAACAGAGCTAACGAGCCTCGATACGCCAGCTTTTAGTTCAGTTCAACATCAGAACTCACCTCTATGACACAGACTTGAGGCTCCATGCCGTCATCATCCACGGGGACCTTGGCCTGCTTCATCACCCACTCCTGAATGGCATCAGTGATGTGTGGCACCACTGGAATGAAGGAGGTGATGCAGATGATTAGTGTCCGCACTCAATCTACATGTTCAACTGACGTGAATTCCTGATACACTTTAGTTTTGCAAGACAGCCACAGGTAAGTGGTAACGCTTAGCAGTGAACGAAACAGCTGGACTTTGGTTGAGTTCCGTCAGAATCATTATACTGTTACCACCTCAAATGTCCAGGACTACGTTCACATTACCAGGTTGAAGTGGCACAAATCCGATTTTCTGCCCTAATGCGACTCAGATCTGATGTCTTCAGGGCTGTGTGGACGCAAATCTGATCTTTTCAAATCCGACTTGAGACACTTTCATATGTGGTCCTAGATTGGATACGTATCCAAATCGTGGCCATGTGACCTTAATGTGACGCTCAGATCGGAACTGATGTGCTTCTTTTCCACTGCGCGAGCGCCATCATTCAGCGTTACCATGGCAGCAGCGCCGAACTGAAGTTAAAGCCTGTAAACGGTGGAAAAGCAGCTCATCACACCTTTTTCTCCTTCGTCTCGCTCTAATAATGAAGCTGAGAGCTGATCAGAGTTAATGATCTTCTCAGCGAAGCTCGTTCTGCTCGTTAGTTTGTGCTGATGATGAACGTGATTCATTCACGTGACGTTACTGAGTAGGATGTGCGCATGAGGGTCATTTCAGGACGCCGGTTTGTCACATTAACGACAGATTTGAGTCACTTGAGTCACCGATGTCAGAGAGATCGGATTTGAGCAAAAAATCAGATTTGAGCAACGAGGCTTGTAATGTGAACATAGCTTAGGGGGAAATTAAGGTCATACATAAAGTATGCCAGGGCCAACTCACTGCCAGACCAAGACACCACAAACGACAAATAATAGACCAATTATCAGCCTTTATTTCTTTGAAAGCCAAAAAAGCACTAAACTCATCCAAAACAAAACAAAATAACAATTTTAAACCTTCCTCCCCAAACCAGGAGAGAACAATCTGTCCTCGTGAGACCTGGTCATTCATTTTTGTCCTCTGTGGTGGACGTGAGTCCCCAAAGGATATTTCAAAAACCACATAAACTACAGTGCTGAAACCTGGTGTGCCATGTAGGGACATCCTGGCCTTTCCAATGTTATACACTATATTGCCAAAAGTATTCGCTGGTCTGCCTTCACACGCATATGAACTTGAGTGACGTCCCATTCTTAATCCATAGGGTTTAATATGATGTCGGCCCACCCTTTGCAGCTATAACAGCTTCAGCTCTTCTGGGAAGGCTTTCCACAGGTTTAGGAGTGTTTATGGGAATTTCTGACCATTCTTCCAGAAGCGCGTTTGTGAGGTCAGACACTGATGTTGGACGAGAAGGCCTGGCTCACAGTCTCCGCTCTAATTCATCCCAAAGGTGTTCTATCGGGTTGAGGTCAGGACTCTGTGCAGGCCAGTCAAGTCCTTCCACACCAAACTCACTCATCCATGTCTTTATGGAGCTGCTTTGTGCACTGCTGTGCAGTGATGTTGGAACAGGAAGCGGCCGTCCCCAAACTGTTCCCACAAATTTGGGAGCATGAAATTGTCCAAAATCTCTTGGTGCTGAAGCATTAAGAGCTCCTTTCACTGGAACTAAGGGGCCGAGCCCAACTCCTGATAAACAACCCCACACCATAATCCCCCCTCCACCAAACTTTACACTCGGCACAATGCAGTCAGACAAGTACCGTTCTCCTGGCAACCGCCAAACCCAGACTCGTCCATCGGATTGCCAGACGGAGAAGCGTGATTGGTCACTCCAGTCCAGTGGCGGCGCTTTACACCACTGCATTCGAAGCTTTGCATTGCGCTTGGTGATGTAAGGCTTGGATGCAGCTGCTCGGCCATGGAAACCCATTCCATGAAGCTCTCTACACCGTTCTTGAGCTGATCTGAAGGCCACATGAAGTTTGGAGGTCTGTAGCGATTGACTCTGCAGAAAGTTGGTGACCTCTGCGCACTATGCGCCTCAGCATCCGCTGACCCCGCTCTGTCATTTTACATGGCCGACCACTTCGTGGCTGAGTTGCTGTCGTTCCCAAACACTTCCACTTTGTTATAATACCACTGACAGTTGACTGTGGAATATTTAGTAGTGAGGAAATTTCACGACTGGACTTGTTGCACAGGTGGCCTCCTATCACGGTACCACACTGGAGTTCACTGAGCTCCTGAGAGTGACCCATTCTTTCACTAATGACTGTAGAAGCAGTCTGCAGGCCTAGGTGCCTGGCTTTATACACCTGTGGCCATAGAAGTGATTGGAACACCTGAATTCAATGATTTGGATTAGTGAGTGAACACTTTTGGCAATACAGTGCCTCATCTGTTGGGGTCTGTCATTCGCAACAGGAGTTCTGCCTTTTCAAATTGGCTGCCACCTCATCAACCACATTTTATGGGTGCAAGAGAAGTAATTAGTTGAAAAATATGCATTTATGATGTTTCTAAAGCCCACAGTTGATCTGTTTTAGGTAGAAAATCGTTTTAGCTCATTTTCAGAGCAATTTTTTATTGATATGAATGAAAGTTTAACCACCAAACAGTGTTTTTTTTGCTGATGTCCTCTGTGGTGAGACTGGATCTAACTTAATCTGTTTTTTTAACTGGAATAAGTGTATTCAGGCATTTAAGTTCAGGATCTGACCTTTATTTAATTTCCTAAATTATTAGAAAATCTCCTTTTACACAACTGTACATCCAAAAATTAAAACATTAAACTAATTCTCTTCCGTCTCCATTCATACCTAAGATTCATCCCTACATGGAACAGTTTGCTGCTAAATGACACACAGAGCCAAACTGCCCTGGAGTTCTGATCAGTACATTGATGATCAGGACTTTGAAGATTACTGACAAGGTTTTTGAAGCTGTTGCTGATGTTGCAGCAGCAGAGTTTTGGTCTGATTCAATTAAGGAAACAAGAAAATTACATCAATAACATAATTAATTAATGCAGAGACGGTACCTCATCACTGTATCTCCTCTCCTGTTAATACACACTGAGCAATATATCATTACTGCTACTGTAATGACTCTCACTGCACACTTTACACTGTAACACTGCTGATATCTGTCTGTCTATCTAAATGGTGCAGCAGTTACAATCAGGTATCTGTCTGTCTGTCTGCCTGTCTATCTAAATGGTGCAGCAGTTACAATCAGGTATCTGTCTGTCTGTCTGTCTATATGGTGCAGCACCAGGTATCTATCTGTCTTTCTGTCTATCTGTCTGTCTATCTAAATGGTGCAGCACTTACAATCAGGTATCTGTCTGTCTGTCTGTCTGTCTGCCTGCCTGCCTGTCTGAATGGTGCAGCAGTTACAATCAGGTATCTGTCTGTCTGTCTACCTGTCTGAATGGTGCAGCAGTTACAATCAGGTATCTGTCTGTCTGTCTACCTGTCTGAATGGTGCAGCAGTTACAATCAGGTATCCGTCTGTCTGCCTGTCTATCTATCTAAATGGTGCAGCACCAGGTCTGTCTATCTGTCTGTCTAAATGGTGCAGCACCAGGTATCTATCTGTCTTTCTGTCTATCTGCCTGTCTGTCTATCTAAATGGTGCAGCAGTTACAATCAGGTATCCGTCTGTCTGCCTGTCTGTCTATCTAAATGGTGCAGCAGTTACAATCAGGTATCCGTCTGTCTGCCTGTCTGTCTATCTAAATGGTGCAGCAGTTACAATCAGGTATCCGTCTGTCTGCCTGTCTGTCTATCTAAATGGTGCAGCAGTTACAATCAGGTATCCGTCTGTCTGCCTGTCTGTCTATCTAAATGGTGCAGCAGTTACAATCAGGTATCCGTCTGTCTGCCTGTCTGTCTATCTAAATGGTGCAGCAGTTTTAATCAGGTACAGGTGTCAGAAAGTAACTGCTGTGCCATTTAAAGTGCAATGGAAAATTCCACCTTTGGCTCTGCCTGATATAAGACTATATAAACCACTTATACAGTTATATTACAATTCTATTATACTTCTGATACAATTATATTACAGTTCTATTACAGTTATTATCTACAGTGATGACTTTTTGCTGCTGGCTTGTTTAACAAGGCTGAAGTTGGCTTCCGATTCACCAGCCTCGCCTCAGGCACCAGAGTGTAAGTGCTGCACCATTTAAGGTGGAACGGGAAAATTCAAACGAGAAGCTGACCAGCTTTGTGTTTGTTTGAGTTAAGTTACCCTTTATTAGTCCCACAACGGGGAAATTTCACCTCCGCATTTAACCCATCCGTGCAGTGAAACACCACATACACACTAGTGAATACACACACTAGTAAACAGTGAGCACACTTGCCCGGAGTGGTGGGCAGCCCTATCCACAGCACCCAGGGAGCAGTTGGGGGTTAGGTGTCTTGCTCAAGGGCACTTCAGACACTTACTGTCGGCTCAGGGGATCGAACCATTGACTTTCCAGTCACAAGGCTGGTTCCCTAACCTCCAGCCCACGACTGCCCCGTGCTAGCCACTGCAAAGGGCTGCAGATGTGTACTAGTCAATATTTCAAATCATATGAAATATTTTTACCACTAGTTTTTATTCAGTCCGTTTAGTGGGGTATAATGACTGGTTAGTGACCCCCTGGCACCAGGCCTGTACTACTACTGCCTACATGTGGTCGTTATCAGAACAATAAGCTATTACCATTAAAGTCCTCCTTTCCAAAGACGCCTATAGTAACAAAGACTTTGCCAGCTGAAAATCATTCCCATTCTGTTTTACACTTAAGTGTCTATTGTCATGCTTAAGTGACCTGTCTGTTGTTATTTACTGCTGCACAAATGTGTCTCACATTAAACAATATTCTTAAAAACTGGAAAATTTACCAATGAATGGATGAACGTTTCACACAGTTGTCTGATTTTGGTGAAAGATGGAAGTGAAGTGGGTGAAATAAAGACAAAAGCAGACTGACAGGTCATTTTTTAGGCCAAGACGACCAGAAAATCCACTTTTTCTTAGGATTGAACACTGAATGTAGTGCACTAAATTTAGTGTTGTTGTAAAATATAACACAAATGACAAATTATTTTAAAAAAATGCGATTTGAAAGTCGCACACTTTCATTTTGCGATTTTGATTAAAAAAATAAAAAAAAAAAACTAAACACTTCATCTTTCAGTCCTGCGGTGGAGCGCAATAAATAAAAGTGTTTTAATGTTTTAAGAATCGTTTTAATGTTCTGAAACGGAATCACTTGGGTTACCATAACAGATGCTAAAAGGTTAAATCAATATTAACCAAGAAATATTCCATTTTTATAATTCAGAACACATGAAATTAACAGAATAGTGATAACTGTATTATCTATACCTGTATTGATGACATCTAGTCTCAGCCCTGAAACCTAAACCCGAGTAAAACATCTAAGAAACCTACTGAAAACATACATACATACATACATATATACATCATCTAAACCGCTTATCCTTCTGGGTCGCGGTGGGGTGCTGGAGCCTATCCCAGCTGTCATTGGGCGGAAGGCAGGATACACCCTGGACAGGTCGCCAGTCCATCGCAGGGCAGACAGACAGACAGACATACACAATCACACCTAGGGGCAATTTATCATGTCCAGTTAGCTTAACTGCATGTTTTTGGAGGAAACCGGAGTACCCGGAGGAAACCCACGCAGACACGGGGAGAACAGGCAAACTCCACACAGAAACGACCCTGGTCACCCGGCGGCGAATCGAACCGAGGCCATTCGTGCTGTGAGGCAACAGCGCTACCCACTGCGCCACCGTGCTGCCCCTACTGAAAACAGCGAATATCAAATAAAACAGTCAAACTTTGTACGCCCGCTTGAACTGGAGACTTTTTCCGAATAAATTTCTCCGTAAACTCGCTCCACATTCCTCAGGGAGCGTTTATGAACGTGCCCTAAACAGTTACATTCTTTTACACAGAGCTGATGGAAGTGCAGCCTAATTCCCAATTTATTTTGCATCATCTCAGTTATTTGCTCTGATTCAGCTGAACAGCCTGATGAAAGCCTGCCTTATGTAATACTAATAAATAAAGAGGTTATTACTCGTCCTACACACTCACCCTGAACAGTTTTCCCCAGATAGTCTCCCCGTCGCTCTTTGTTAATGACTGACTGGTAGATCTTTCCGGTGGTGAGGTTGTTGTCTTTGGTGAGTCGGATGTCCAGAAAGCGCTCATAGTTCCCCAGATCGAGGTCCACCTCTCCTCCATCGTCCAGCACAAACACCTCACCTGGATATGAGTAAAATACAATCACAAACAGAATCAACAACTAAATGTAGGTATTGTGATATAAACTGAGTCTGTTCTACAGTTTCTCATTAGGCTGAACGAATAACCGACTCTAAATGTAGGTATTGTGATATAAACTGAGTCTGTTCTACAGTTTCTCATTAGGCTGAACGAATAACCGACTCTAAATGTAGGTATTGTGATATAAACTGAGTCTGTTCTACAGTTTCTCATTAGGTTGAATGAATAACTGAATGTTTTGCCATTTTGTTTGTCCAGGCTCGTACAAAACGCTCTGGAAAGGCGTCACTACTTTACCATGCTCATACGGAGAGAAGGTCCCGGCGTCGATGTTGATATAGGGATCGATTTTGATGGCGGTGACATGGAGGCCACATGACTTCAGAATAGTACCAACACTGCTGGCGATGATGCCTTTACCAATCCCTGAGATCACACCACCCGTCACCAGGATATACTTCATTGTGGCGGTCATTTACTGCAAAAACAGACAGAACATGGACATGAGGCGATGGGTCAACTGGGGCACCATGACTATATTTATCATTACTGTGATTATTGTATCACAATATGCTTTTCTGAGCATTTCATGGATACTGGCTTAAAAAACACTGCACGTTTGATTAAAAAAGAGTCTTATTTAACTGGATTTGGTGCAGCACAGTGCACCCCAATAACTGGATTCATAGCTTTTGACAGTGTTTTTAAAATGTGGCACTGCTGTTTTTGTCTGTTATAACTTATCAGATGTCAAAATCGTTATGTATTGTAAAACTTCCTGAAGTATCACGATATTACATTATACAAATCGCCCACCTCTACGATCTATGTCATTGTTCGTGGTAAACTATGTTACAATAGAATATGCTCTTCTCAGCATATGATGCTCGTAAACACTGACCAACTGCATGTTTAATTATTACGAAGGCAAAATTAGCCCCGTTTAAATGGATTGAGTGCAACATAGTTTGTTATATTGAATAAAAATCATCATATTCACAGTTTTATATAGGATTTTTTTAAATGTAGCACTACTGGTTCTTTTTTTATCAGTTCCAACTGATCAGACGTCTAAAAAATATTAATTCTGTGACGTGTATCGTGAAAATCTCTTAAAATATCACAAAACTGTATTTTTGCCGTATCGCCCAACTTTAAGGTCAGCAACTACTTTCTATTGTGAATGTACATTATCCAAAAGTTTATAGACGTTTCTCCTGAAATAAAGGTGTTAATAGTGAGTTTGTGCTGCAGTAACAGCCTCTACTCTTCTGGGAGCTTAGACTAGATGTTGGAACATTGCTGTGAGGATCTGATTGAGTTTTACTGAGGTCAGGTACTGATGTTGGATGGTCAGTTCTGGATCACTCCAACTCATCCCAAAGGTATTGGATGGAGCTCCATCACTCCAGAGAACGCAGCTCCACTGCTCCACAGCCCAATGCTGGGAGGCTTTATACCCCTCCAGCTGATCTTATGTGACCTTTGGCTGCTCCAGAGCGACCCATTCTGTTGGTCAGTGCTTTTCTATGGAGATTATACATGCTGTGTCAACAATAGGTGACCCTAAAGTAGCTGAATTCACTCAGTGGAAGGACTGTCTGGATACTTTTGGACATGTATTGTAGATCTGCTGTTTACTGATGGTCAACATGGCAGCACTTCTCAACTGAACTCAATGACCAGACTGTCTTTGTGTAAGGTTAGATGATTGATAAGCTACTCTGATCCATGCAAATGACAGATCAGCACATGCGCAGCACTGCTTATCACAACGTGGCTGCACTTATTAAAGGGGAATTCCACCATTTTTTCCAAATTTCTACATAATTAAATGGTTAAAATGTAAACAAGGTCATTCACAGAGGTTCCAGAGACACTTACAGAGAATTGTTCACAGTGGTGGTGATAGGAACCAGACGTCCACCTCTAAAAGCTCCCTCACAGAAAGTTACTACATGCTTTTGAAGGCAAAATAGTCCCGCAAGAAAACTCTACAATCAACCATTTCACACCAGACCACTCTGAATCACTCATCTCAAACAATGAACTATGCAAAAGAAATTTGAAAAACGGGTGGGATTCCCCTTCAAAGAGTTCGCTCTCTGTCTAAACTAGCTTAGGGAACATCTTTTGCCAGAGGAACAAACAGTGAAAAGGTGTAATTAAAACAAAACGTTTAAAGAAATAATTCAAATTCAACTACAAAAGCAAAGAATCAACTTTAAACATGAACTTAAAAGGCAAAAACATTATGAAAACTATAGCAACGATTCTTCAAAGGTTCTTTAGTAAAGGCAATGGTTCTATTTAGAACCACAGAACAATCTGCATGCTTAAATGGTTCTCTGCATGGTGAAACCCTTCTTCAGATTGATGGAGCATGTGTTACTACTGTTCTAAACAGACCCCTTTTGAAAAGGGTTCTATCTGTAGCACCAAAAAGGGTTCTTCAGTTGATAGCTTGACATCGTAAACAGTAGTGCTATATAAAACCATATACAACAAGTTCTCCATCAATCTGAAGAACCATTTCACCATGGAAAGAACCCTTTAAGCATGGAATGGTTCTATATAGAACTCATGGTTCTAAGGAGAACCACTGCCTTTGCTAAAGAACCATTTTTTTTACGAGTATAACTATATAAACCTCTCAAACAATTATATTATCTACAATTATTATCTAAATTTATTATCTAACTTACTGCAATTAGTTTTTAACTGTTTATTACAGTTAACTAGCAGCGAGGCTGGCTAACAATATAGCAAAAAGCTAACATAAAAACGACATTTTGAGTTAAATAAATGCACAAATAGAATCTTAAACACCGAATAAGGTCCAAAATAAACTGTCATTTAAATTAGGAACCTATCTGTGTTTATTTTATGTGTATTTACGCGGACAGACAGCTAAGCTAACCGGCTACTGTCCTCCTCTGTGCTCTCAGGTCAGAATAACGCGTCTAACTTCAAAATAAACCTCCACAGGTGAGACTAAAGGAGCGAAACTCCCACCTGTGAGGAAATACGACACTCTGTACGGGTGAAAGCGGTCTAAAGACGCACTTACGGCTGAGGTGGACGGCGCTGAGAGCTGGAGAGGCTTACTGACCACTACAGTCTCCTACTACACGTGTTTGAGGGGTAAAGGCGCCAGGAGCACAATAACCGTGACGAAACCCGGGCTTTCAAAATAAAAGTCACCAGACGTCGCCTTGGTTTTTTTTTAATCTTTTCAACTCCTCTCCTTGAGACCACCGGTGGTTCCAAAACACACTTCGTCATATTCTTCATAACTTTCATATTTCATAAGCTGCATTCTAAAGGTGGGGGTCGTATGAGAGCTGTAACTGTCTTCTTTCCAGTCAAATAGATGGTGATGTAATTTTAACCCTTATAATAAAAGAAGCTGAACTTTTTTTTTCTACTGAAAGTCGACCCATTTTTCCACGAATCTGGGCTATAAACTATAAACAGATGGCGTCTCTTCAGTGATCTGCTCTGTAAACATTATTTTTATAAAATAATACAATAAGAGCGTCTAAGATTTTTGGCTTTCAGCAGTAAATTGTAAGCATATGGCATTTTGTTTATGATTATAAAACACATGTTCTGTTAATTTGAGGGGAGCTTTTACAAAAAAAAAAAACATTTATTTCATGCAGTTACTGAATAATTTGCCTTACGATTTGGTCATGGAAATTCAGATGGAAAAACCAAAATATACCCTGGTGAATAAGAACGTTATTGAATTTTCAACAATATGATAGAATATAATGTAACATGAACATCTATAACATCTATAACAAGTCATTACGTTTACATTTTTACGAAGTATGTCGCATATAGATATTTTGTTATATTATTTTATATTTCAAGGTACACATACATTTACACAATTAACAATCAAATTACCCATAATACCTTTATCCAAAAGTTTATAGACGTTTCTCCTGAAATGAAGGCATTAGTGAGGTCAGGTGCTGATGTTGGATGGTCAGTTCTAGATCACTCCAACTCATCCCAAAGGTATTGGATGGAGCTCCATCAGTCCAGAAAACGCAGCTCCAATGCTCCACAGCCCGATGCTGGGGGGCTTTATACACCTCTGGCACACCTTAAGTGACCTTTGGCTGCTCCAGAGTGTCCCTTTCTGTTGGTCAGATTATACAAGCTGTATCAGCAATAGGTCACCTTAAACCAGCTGAATTCACTCATTGGAAGGACTGCCTGGACATGCATTGTAAATCTGCTGTTCACTGACGGTCAATGTGGCAGCACTCCTCAACTGAACTCAATGACCAGACTGTCTTTGTGTAAGGTTAGATGATTGATAAGCTACTCTGATCCATGCAAATGACAGATCAGCACATGCGCAGCACTGCTTATCACAACGTGGCTGCGCTTAATAAATTACCAATAATTTCTAACTCAAAACATTCTGGCACTGGACACTTCCAGTTCCATTTCACTATGTTTCTTGCTGGGAGTTTTCCTAGAGCCGCCAACGACATTACATCTGTTTGTTTCGCTGTAATCAATTTACAGGACAGCAAATTTCCATTTTCTTCTTTACTACAACCTCCGAAATGAATAACTCCATTATAATTATGATCAATTTTGTTCCTATAAATTAACCGATTTGAGTGCATTGTGCAATTAATGTTTAAAATCTTATACTTTTCCATAAAAATCAGCAAATAAAAGCTAATAATAATGACATGTTCTTGTTTATTTCCTTTTAATTCCTCCCACTCTTTAATATTACGAATCCATCTGTCTATACAAGCACTGACATTCCAAAATGGCATACTTTCATATCATAAAGTAACGAGAAAGCAGTACATAAGAATTGTTAGTGTGTGCAAATATATAGTATTCATAAAACAGTATGCAAAAATTCATTTACTTTTAAAGTGTAGTTCAAAATACACGACAGCTGAGCTGTACAGTGAGGACACACAATAAATACTTAAAAAGATGATCTTTACCCTGTTTTTTTGGATCTTGAGTCACCCAGTGTGGGTGGTGAGCACATGTGCACCATGTGCTCATTTACTAAGGTCTGTTTCCTTAGAAACTAGATTTGTTTGGCTTTGAAAAAAAATTTACTATGGCATTTGTTCAGTGTTGCGATAAGGACAGGCGTAAAATCATGTAAATGATGAGTATGGTTTAAAAATATACACACATGAAACAATTTCATTTGAAATAATGTTCAATTGCAACTGAATTGAATGGCCTATTTTTACACATCTAAACATTAACACCACTGTTGAACAAAAGTGGTGTTTGGACCCATAAAATGCTTCAGAAATCACATTTTTAGTACTTATTTTTTATGTCAAGATGTGTAATAACACTGTGCATATATTTATATATTTATTTATGTAAAATTCCACTGCTGGGACGTAAAAAACGCCTGTACTTGCAGAAACACTCAAAACTGAAATGTCCTCACTTTTCTGAAACTCCCAGCTCCATTTGGTTCATACATGTTGCTACTGAGCTGAAAAAGCAGCTTTCATGTGTCTACCTGCACAAACTACAGCAGTTTAGCCACGCCCACTCACGCTAAAGTTATAAGGAGTGTTTCAGGCATGACCTGTCAGAACAGAGCTCATTCATATATCGCTGCTGTTGGAACAAAACGCTGTATTTTTGTATTTTTTCAGTTATTGACATAGTTTGAAAATGCCTGTTTCTGTTTACATACAACAAAAGAAATGGCTCAAAATGACTTGGAAAAAATTCTGGTTCCATTGACTTACATTAGAAGTAAAGTATGTTTTTCCTGTAAGTTAACATGCTGGAGATTTGAGGTTTCGCTCCAACAGCAGTGGTATATCAGTTTAAGTTAAGTGATTAAGTGACCCTTATTAGTCCCACAACAGGGAAATTTCACCTCCGCATTTTGACCCATCCGTACAGTGAAATACCACATACACACTAGTGAACACACACACTAGGGGGCACTGAGCACACTTGCCCAGAGTGGTGGGCAGCCCTATCCAGAGCGCCCAGGGAGCGGTTGGGGGTTAGGTGTCTTGCTCAAGGGCACTTGAGTCATGTACTGTTGGCTCAGTAACCTCCAACCCACGACTCGTTTAAAGGCACAGTAACAAAAACAGCCTGTCTAACTGTACGGGATGTAGACAGGATGGAAAATGGTCATGTGGAAGTGAGTTATGACTGTTGCGCTGGTCTGAGTGAATCAGACACAGCAGTGCTGCTGGAGGTTTTAAACACCTCAGTGTCACAGCTGAACTGAGAATAGTCCACCAACCAAAAATATCCAGCCAGCAGCGTCCTGTGGGCAGCGTCCTGTGACCACTGATGAAGGACTAGAGGATGACCAACACAAACTGTGCAGCAGCAGATGAGCTATCGTCTCTGACTTTACATCTACAAGGTGGACCGACAAGGTAGGAGTGTCTAATAGAGTGGACAGTGAGGTGACACAGTGTTTAAAAACTCCAGCAGCACTGCTGTGTCTGATCCACTCAGACCAGCACAACACACACTAACACACCACCACCACGTCAGTGTTACTGCAGTGCTGAGAATGACCCACCACGCAAACAGTACCTGCTCTGTGAGGGTCCATGGGGGTCCTGACCACTGAAGAACAGGGTAAAAGGGGGCTAACAAAGTATCAGAGAAACAGATGGACTACAGTCTGTAACTGTAGAACTACAAAGTGCACCTATATAGTAAGTGGAGCTGATAAAATGGACAATGAGCGTAGAAACAAGGAGGTGGTCAGAATGTTATGCCTGATCGGTGTAATTACACATAAACTTACACTATGCAGAAAATAAAAAAATAAAAATAAAATAAAAATAGACATAAGTTAAAGTATACAAGAGTAGAATTAAAAGTGTATGTATTTGCATATTTACATAGCATATGAGACAGATTTGTTGTATTTACATGATAGCAGGCACTGAGGGGTATGAGGTAAACTAGCACAATGAGTATAGACATAACTAGGAGTTGCAGCAGTATTACAGTGTAATAATGCGCAGTGAGAGTCATTACAGTAGCAGTTATGATATATTACCCAGTGTGTGTTAACAGGAGAGGAGATACAGTGATGTAGTTCAGCTCAGTTCAGACAGCAGGAGATCAGTACCGTCTCTGCAGTGAGGAGACTCGCTGTAGAGCCGTATATCAGTGGGTAAGAAAGATCTCACACTGCCTCTTTAACACAGCGCAGCTGGAACAGTCTGACCTGAATGAGCTTCTCTGTTTAGCATGCAGGGGGTGTGAGATGTGTGCAAGACGGCTAACAGCTTGTTGAGCGCCCTTTATTCTGCCACAACCTCCAAAGAGTCCAGCTTGACTCCTACAACAGAGCCAGCCGTCCTAATAATGATGTCACTGTTCAAGTTATGGATATGCTGCTTAAAATTTCAGCACCCCTGGCTTAAAACACCTTCATACCTCCCTACAGTTTTTGCTACCAATGTGTCAAACACAAGGCCTGTGGTCCATCCTATTTGGCCCACAACAGTACTTTAATTTTCTATTAACATTGGCCCATTTCACCATGAACCGCACAGTTAGAAATAAAGGTTCTGTTCAGGTACATTTTTCGTTCATCAAGGTACAAACAGTGTAAATGTTCCCTCAAAGGTCCAACAGTGGTTTTAAGGTCTGATTGTGAACCTTAAATAAGTGTTTCCAGGTGAAAAGTTCGTATTTGTACCTTTTCATAACCGAATGTTTTAAACAGAACAGTAAAATAAAAGCCTGGAGACGAGACGGGGTGTGTGGAGTCAGTACAGCTTAGAACATATCATTTCAGTGGATTATGGTTCAGTTATGTTCCCTGACTAAAGGTACTGAGATGGAGCCTTGAGGGTTCCACCCCAGTGACAAGAGGGGAACTGACCCAGAGACAGTTTAGTACCTTTATTTCTGTGCACAACAGTTCCATCATGCATTGCAATGTAATGTGTGCCCATACCCCCTCCCTAACAACGATCTATGGGACTGCTCCACAAACACAAAACAAAATAAAAAAGATGCCAGGTGTCCAGTTTAAGCAAACAGGCAGGTTTAAAAACGCTACTGTACACTTGAGGCATTTAAAGAGGTTTAACAGTGATCTGCAGCTAATATCGTCTATTGTTTTACATAAAACAATTTGGTTTTATTTAAAACTATTTTTGAAA